TTATTGTTTCAGCTTTATAGTTCAAAAGAAGAATGGTTTTGGATTTTCAATGATTTCAATATTTTTAAATTTTTTCAATTGACCTTTGTTGACCTTGACCTTTTTAGGATCGAAGTTCATTGACCTTGGCCATCGATCTATACCTACATAATTGAAGTCCAATGACAGCTTCAGGATAAATAGACATATGCATTTTGAAAATTTGATGACATATATTTCGTGAGCTTGACCTTTGTTGATATTCCCCTTTACAAGGTCAAAGGTCGTTGACTTTGGCTATTCGCTGATATTTTCATTTCTGATGTCGGACGTCTACTTCCGGTTTCACAACCTTCCAAACACAGAAAATGTTGTAACTTTAGACAGTTCTGGCATGTGACCTAATTAACCTAGAAGGTTGGTTTCTTCAGGGTCTCTTGCAATTTGCCACAGTAGCAAAGGCCACTCTTTGCCAAGTGTGGCTCTAGTATATATAATTATAGGACTTTTGAAATGAGATGAAAATGTATAAGTTGAATATTTGAAGTTACCTGTACAGTATCTAATACACTAGACCCACTAGTACAAACATCTTCTATAATTAAACAGTTATCTCCATCATTATACTTTCCTTCTATTAACTTCTTAGTACCATATCCTTTAGCTTCTTTTCTTCGGATTAACATAGGAATATTTTCTTTAGCAGAAATACACTGTAATTATTGTGTAAATCATAAGGCAATTTTCTTGGAATAGGCAGCGATACAAAGCCTTACAAAACCTCTCTTTCAAATGGCTGCTTCCAAGTAGTTCAGTAAACAAGAAACACTTTTTACTGATCAAATTTTAAAGGGACCTTAGTCTCAGAAGCAGGAATTTTCTAGCTTAGCCAATCAGTGTGAGTGTTCACAGCTCACCATCGAAATTTGAGACTTCAAATCTATGTGTCCAGAATTTCCCATGTTTGAATGTTAAAATGATAACGTAAATATCCTAGTTTGCAGTACTTTTTAAAGGAATTATGCCATTTTCGTACATTTCTAGTACTTCTTAAGACTTTACATATATTAAACACTCAAATTGACCCCCCCAAATGGCGCACCTGTAGCTTTCAGTCTATTTTGTGATTCAATATTCTTATCAAATACTTCTAGCTATGTGAATAATAGGGGTTCCATGGAGTATCCTTGCATCATAATAATACAATTATTAACATTTTAAATTCCATTTGGGTACTTTAAGAAACTTTACCTACCGTAGCAAGTGGCAAAGCTGTATATGGTACACCACAAATTGATTTATATTCAGACTTCACATTTTGACTGGCTTTCCATAACATTTCACTTACCCGAACCTAAAAATATTGGATATTCCATAATATAGAATCTATTTGACATCAATCTAGTTAATATTCTTATCTTAATCTTCCTTTGTAGATAACTCATTATACCCAAATGTGAATTATTTATGATTTTCTACAAATTTGGGCTGTTGTCTAAGCAAACTATAAAGTTTTTTCTATTTTATTTAATTTAATGCTTCAAAGACAAGAAAATCAATGATTTAAGCTTACCAATGCTGCAGGAACAACATTGTGTTGCTAAAAATACACTTAAATTCACTTTTTGAGACAAAAAACGTCTACATTTTAACACTTGACAAAAGTAGTTTTGTTTACATTTGAAGAAATTTCCCTTATGTGAAGTAATTTCCTTTAAGTGTAATATCAGTTTTTGGATAATGCCATTTTTCAATATGGGTGACATGTTGAAAAAAGGCTACATACTGTACAGTTGATAAAGTAATTTGGTCTAAAAAGGGGTTGTCAGATAGGGCTGGGATGATCGATATTGGTTCAAGTGCACAACATCATACTAATAAGCTTGTATCACAAGAAATATACATGTATATATATTGTGATATATAAGGTACAATTTTTAACCTTCTGGTTTTTGATAAAAATGTGTTTTTTTTTCTTTCTAAATATTTTACCATTGGAAATAAACTTAATATAGTATCATGATATGAAGATATTTCAGAAAGCTTATATATGTTAATGAAACAATATGAATTCCTATAGGCCTACCAGTATTTATCATGATACCAATATATTGTCCAGATTTACTGTCAGGGAATACCTCTTCTCTTTTTGTAGTGTTAATGTAGATGTTTTTGTATCCAAAACTGAAATCTTAAATTTTTAGTGAAATGTGGATATACATCTAATCTCAATTAGTGAAATGTGGAAATAGAGCTAATCTTGGTTGGTGAAATGTGGTTATAGAGCTAATCTTAATTAGTGAAATGTGGAAATAGAGTTAATCTCAATTAGTGAAATGTGGATATAGAGATAATCTAAATTAGTGATATGTGGATATAGAGCTAATCTCAATTAGTGAAATGTGGATATAGAGATAATCTAAATTAGTGATATGTGGATATAGAGCTAATATCATATAGTGAAATGTGGATATAGATCTAATCTCAATTAGCGAAATGTGGATATAGAGATAATTTAAATTAGTGATATGTGGATATAGAGCTAATATCAATTAGTGAAATGTGGATATAGAGCTAATCTCAATTAGTGAAATGTGGATATAGAGATAATTTAAATTAGTGATATGTGGATATAGAGCTAATCTCAATTAGTGAAATGTGGATATAGAGATAATTTAAATTAGTGATATGTGGATATAGAGCTAATATCAATTAGTGAAATGTGGATATAGAGCTAATCTCAATTAGTGAAATGTGGATATAGAGATAATTTAAATTAGTGAAATGTGGATATAGAGCTAAGTGTGTTTTAACTATGCAACAATGTCCCTGAAGCATCAGTAAGCTTATCTTCATATTGGTCAAATTCAAATTTCAAATTCTTTATTTTCTTTGTCATATCTGCCCATCAGATAAGGTATACAAAACACAATTAATATACAAAACACAACCACAAAATACAAACAAAGATTAAGATAGTGGAGCACAGCCATATAAGCCCTTCACGGCATGCGGATGGTAACAACGAAACATCCGGACGGAGGGACCGATGGACAAGGGTGCTGACAATATACGTCCACATAGAGAGATGTGGGCGTATAATAAAACAACATATTTTCATATAAACAGAGTGACCTTTATGTTAGTTGTTTCAATCTCTTTGTTTGTGATTGGCAAAGAAACATACTAAGTTTTTTAATTTCTGACAACTTTTCGATGGATAATAAATAATAATAAGCATGGGTTCTTCTAATAATTTATTTTTATACACTTTTGCCTGAATTCTTCATAAAATGGACAAATTAATATGACATGTATTTCATTTTCAATCAAAACATCTCGCGGTCTCTAAACAGAAGTTATGAGCTGAGACTCTCAACCTGAGAGTCAGATTTTGGAAACTGTATTAAAAAATGTTTTAAATAAGGCATTGTGTCTTTGTTTCATATGCCAACAATATGGTCAAGTAGGCCTAACCTAATTTTGTGCTAACCTATTTTTCGTACATCTCCGGAAATGATTAATGATTTACATGTGCGACCGTGAGTGATCTCTGCATTTGCTTGTTTCGATAAACATGGGTTATTTGTACAATATCAGCTAGTAGAATGAATCCAGTAGTTTCAAGTAAGGTAAAATGTATTAATGTCTACTTTGACAAATATAAAATGGCCCATTTCAACGTTTACCAATTATCACAATTTTTTATCGGCCTAATTTCTTTATAATCCCAAGCTGTAATCGGAATTTGAAGTGTTGTCTGCTAGAATGTAGTCCAATGAACGAAGTCACAATGTGGGCCATATTCTTAGGTAGTTTCAATGACTCACAATAAATCACTCCTACCTTTTAGGCCAATCTTATTTGGTCAATCACTATTTTTTTAAAAAAAATCATTGTTCTTTAAAGGGATTGTCATTAGTTATTAGGAAATGTTATTAAAGATAGATACTAAGAGAAGTTAATCATACCACTGGGTTTCCATACAACGTGTTTTACTCGAAAATAGGTGATGCATTTAGCAGCCATTGTCCAGTTGGTTACTCATGAATATTATGTGTCAAGGTGAGGGATTCATAAAGAAAATCGCAACACACCAATAAACAACAGATTTTCGTGTGACAAGATTTCAGAAAATGTTAAAGAGTGTTCAATTTTGTGAATTAACGTGGAAAAATAAGCTAGTCAAGGGACATAAGCAGGATTTATAATTTTATCATCTCCCCTCCAGAGCACATTTTTTTCAGTCATTCCGGTAGGTTACTCTTACCATTAACTCAGGATACGATACTACTACACGTAAATCAATATAAACAGGGGCTTGAACTCCACTTTTCAAAGTGTAGTTGCCAAACTTGACACCCTCAACTTCAAACAGATCTAACACTAGCTTTTCCGTATCAATGTTTGCTTGTACATCCATGTTGATTTCATGAAGAGAGATACGGATTCAGACCACTAAAACTTTTTTTCATGTAAATATTAGCCTAGTCCGCGTTATTTTTTATAAATCCTCTTATGGGGTTTTTACATGGCTAGTTTTGACTAAATTTTGATCTAGATTTGGAATTTGATGTTTGAAATTGCATTTCTTTCAGATTTTGTAAGATGACGAGAGATTTATATGCGGAAGGATATATTAAGATTGTCGTCTGGTGTGCAGTGGCAAGTCAAGCAGATGTTGATAAAATGTAGTGGTATAGACTACTTTCAGTTTGGCTCAAGATTTTCATGGTCATGACAGACCAAATTTCAAACACGCGTTCATCAGGTTAACGAATACTAACTTTCTCCACACAATCTTTTTAAATAAAACTAACCCAAATAGCCTACACTAAATTATCAAAATCACACTGCTTTCATGACTGTCTTCAATTAATAGCCTACCTACATGTAAGTCAAGGCAGTACCTAAAAAGCTGTTTATCAAATAATCATCAAATTCAAACAAGAACAATGTCTAATCAACATACACATTTATTTATATGTAGTTTAAATTCGATTAACACTGTATCCAGACTCTATGATATCAAAATATGCACATCAATTTTCATCATTCATCGAAAAAGTCTTCAAATTCGCTCATGTCCAAGATCTCTTAGACATAAATGATCACACTAAATGTCATTACATCGATAAAACAAATTTTGGTGCGTTCTTCCTTATAAGTCAAGGGCAATAACTCAAAACCAATATTATGACCATACCAAATTTCATTAAAATCAGATAAAAACTGCAGTCTCTGTTGTGTTCACAGACAAATTTTGACGTGTACTGGTACGTGTTCTTCTAAAGACAATAACTCAAACCACATTTCCAAGTGGGACTATTTTTTATACGCCCACATGGAAATGTGGACGTATATAATTGCCGTCGCCCCTGTCCGTCCGTCCATTCATTCACATGTATGCATGATAAAGGCTGCAATTTTTATCTGATCTTGATGAAACTCGGTATGCATGTATATATTGATAAGATCTTGGTCAGGTTTGAATTTGGTCATAATCGGATGAATGGTTTTAGAGTTATTGCCCTTGACATAGTGAAAACGCTTCAAATTTTGTAGTAGTCATGATACAGGGTGCATTTTTTATCTGATCTCAATGAAACTTGGTTCGCATGTATAAATTGATAAGATCCCAAGTTCAAAAATGGTAATAATTGGATGAATGGTTTTGGAGTTAAATTATGGCCCTTGAATTAATTCAATGCGTCTAATTTGGCTTGTAGGCCTGATAGAGACTACATTTTTTATTCGTTTTTTTGATGAAACTTTTGAAATCTCAGCTTGAAATTAACTCAACCTTTGCCTTTTTCGGAGGCCCTTTAAAGCAGAACCAACCAGTTTCCTTTAAAGTTTCTTCACCCATGGCATAGATGAGTGTCACTTCAAGCCCGAGACCAAACGACAATTGATACAGTGGGAACCAGTAACCTCTCTTCTCCTCCGCCAAATAAGACAAAGGTGTCTATATATCGTACTCACAATTGCTAAATGCCATTCAAAGACTTTAAGACAAAGGTGGTGTTTCTGGTTCTACCTTTCAAAGTCTTTCAAGTTCCCTCGAAACATATGCTGGGAATCGGAAGCAGCCTAATCATGTTACTCGATGTTAAATCGAACCCATCCATGTTGCCATAAATTCTTAAATTTCATGAAAATCAGATGAAACCTGTTGTCTACAGCTTACAGCTTGTGTAATTATTGATTATTATCATTGTTGATTGTCAACCCCGTGAAACACTTAAACACATATTTTCAATGTATATATACATGTATAGTTTCTTTATTGACTTTTTGAATCATATAGTTCAGCCCCCCTTAAAAAAAATTTATTATTAAGTTTTTTTGATTTATCGGATTATATAATGATCCTGTTATGTTATTTATTACACCAGGTATATCAACTGATGAATATACGCTCATATTGACCATTCTTGAGAATGTATCCCTTTAATAAGGCTTCAATTATCGTTCATCCAATTATTACCAAATTTATAATTGAACAAGATCTTATCAATTTATATACGCATACCAAGTTTCATCAAGATCGGATAAAAACTGTAGTCTCTATTGTGCCTACAAGCCAAGCTTGACACGTTTTTACTCTTTAGTCAAGAGCAATAACTCTAAAAAATATTCAAATAATTATTACCAAATTCAAGCTTGAACGAGATCTTATCAATATATATACTCATACTAAATTTCATCAAGATTGATTAAGTATTTCAGTGTCTACAAGCCAAACTTGACACGTTTTGACGAAGTCAAGAGCAAAAACTCCAAAAAACATTCAAACAATTATTACTAAGTTCTGAGATCTCAATATACAAGATTTGACTTCATCATGGGGAAAAAACAAATTACATGTCAAATTACAATCAAAACTTGTTTGATGAAATGTTGGGTATTAAAGGATGTTAATTCATGTCAATTTTATTTTTTATTACACCAAGTTCAGTATACCTCAAATGAATCGCTGTACTACTAGTGGTATTGGTGATCCCATCAAAAAGTCTATGATTGGTTATTGCTGCTTGCTTTTTCTCTTTAGATTCACCACATCTCCATGTGGGCATATAAAAAAGGCAGTAACATTGAGATTTAAAACATTTACAAATTTATTTATTACACTTTATATCATTTGCACCATAATGTAAAAGGGAAGTATGTTTGTCAAAATAATAGACAACTGACATTGGTACATTGTAAATTCATTATGAGCAATTTTTATTTCATAAACAAAAATATTCAATCTGCATGCAATAATTGACATTAATTCCTTACATATAAATCAAGCCCTGTGTTATTCTTGACAATTACATTTTACAGATGACTTGATGAGGCAAAATTTTATATTAATATCGGCAAAAGTAGTAAATTATAATGCTATATGTAGGTACAAATTTGAAAATCAAGATGTTCTCAAAGTTTCTAGTCATATTCCCCCAAAAGAAAAAATCATGACTCCACTCCAATCATTTTATAATTTATTTTTTATCTGAAAAATAATTCTTTGTTGAAAACTTTTTGACCCCTCTTACATTTTTCCAAAACGTCATCATCAAATGAACACTGTGTACACTTAGACATGACTGGACAAAATGTAATTTGAAAGAAATGAAAGATGTGTTTTTCAGAATCAGATCCATTTCATTTATGGGAAAAATGCAACAGCCCGGAAACAGATAACAAAATGCATTGTGAGAATCTAGATGCCTTCAGTCAAGGCTAGTGACCATGTTATACCCTAATGTAATTTTCCTTATAATATCTCAAGTACAAATTGATATTTTGAAAAGGGAGTTGGAAATATTAAATAAAATTAATTTCTTTCAGGAAATATACAATGAATAAACAATTTTTAGTTTAATGTAGCACGTAATTGCTGTCAATATGATGCTCATATTTATATTTTCTATTTCATAGAAATAAGCTTAACCAGTGACATTGTACTAGTTAAATGTAGTCTGTGATGGTCTTCATGACCAGCCTTTAGAGCAACTTTTGAATCTTACATAAGTATAGTTCCTACCTGGTTTTAGGAGGAAACAAGAATATATGACGTGGCTGTCAAAAAAGACAAATTATTAAATTTTCACCATTGTCATTTCCTTAATTGACTGACAGGCTTGAAAATCTGGTCTAAACTTAAAATATAATTTACAATGAAATTTTGACAAATAATTACCAGATGCTATCATCCAGGTTAGCTGTGATATTGACAATAACCAGGATTTTAAATTATAACCTGTATAATACTTTCAGTCTTATTGACAATGAAAATTTTTTAGAAGCAGGCAACTACATGTTATTTTTCATCATTTTTTAAATTCTTCCAATTTGTCTAAGAGTTCATCAGCATCTTCACTAGTTTTCACACGTAATAGCATTGGTACAGGTTTACCACTATCATCTTTCACATCAACTGGTGGATTAGGTACACATAACATCCAAACATTGTTTTTACCTTGTTTCTTGGTTGGTATCACTGATGACAACATTATATTCAGTAAGATATTACCTAGAAAAAACAAAATCAATTCCCAAAATCTCATAACTTTTAAAATTTGAGTGAGTGAGTTTTATTGATTATGTTCAAATAAGTTGTTGTCCGAATCCTATATGGACAATTTATTTGTAATCTGAGGTGAAGGTCGCTTGTTTAATAAATATGGATGCCATAGTTTTTTACTTTACTTTCAATTGGTTTTCAATACCTGATCATTCTATTGCAACCAAATTTGCAGAGTTGATGATTGGGTTTCAAGAGAAGATTACTAAAGCCCATGATAGTTGTTGCAAAAAGCAGTTAAAAAGACATGTACAAACCTAGAGTTGTGTCAGCTCTGATTATTAATTGTGTTTTCCCCTCTTCATCAGGTTTCAGATGTAGATTACCAACACCACGATCTTTCCACTTACCATCTTTCTGGTAGAATATTTTACATCTTTGATAAAGAAAATATTGAGCATATTTAAAAATATGGCCTGTGTTCATGGTAGCTCAGAAATTATACCAATGTGAAAGCTGCTGTCTATATTGTATAATACAAAACTTGCACATTGGTGGGTTGTTGAAATAAGTGGTACAAGTGTAATCCTGATTAAAATACAAGGCATACCACATCTTAAAGCTTCAACCTGATCAATATACAACATATCAAGTTCAATCCAAATTCACATGCAAATTTTGTGGTTTGACAGAAAACAGAGAAGGTGAAAATAGTTTTAAGAATTGTTTTAAAAGCAACTAATTTAAAAAATCATCATTTAATTTGGTTCAAAAATGTTACCTTTTAGAATAAACTGCACCTTCTTCATTGATCTCTCTAGTCTCAGGCTTTGGTGGCTCATATTCTTCTTCACCTTCTACAAATGAATTTACTTCATAGTAAAACATGTACACCGTAATATCATCATCAAATTAGTCTGAGAAAGACTATCCACATGCTTTGATAAATGATTTCGATAGCTTGTCGTTTGGAGGAGGGAAATGCACCAAACAGCACCAAACCCCTTAAGATTGTTGCACGCATCTTCGTGTTCACACATTGCAAGTAATTCCATGATATTTTCTAGCAATAAAGATGTCAGCCGCCAAATGTCTAATACACACGATATTAATTTTTGTAGCATATTAAACCCCCACCCATTTTTGCACTTAAAACCATTTGATTGATACCAGTCTTGCCTTTCCGTGAACAGAAGTGAAAAATATACCAGGAAGTTTATTTTTCATTCAGTTTGTCTGTAATTCATGCACAAACAAATTTTCAGATTAATTTGCATACACATAGCCAAACTGTCATATAATATGTTTTAATGGCTGCCAATGTTATATTGTATCAGATATTCAAATTGACCTTCTGTTCATGCAGTCAATTTTTTTATGAAATATAAGAGTTTCAGATACCTTGGTTGTCTGTTGGTTTATTAGTAGCTGAAGTAAATGCTGAAGTACCAAAGCCACCAAATGAAGTAGTTGATGGTGTAAATGTAAAACCAGATGTATTAGTTGTTGTTGTGGAAGATTGAATTACATTAGCAGCACTAGAAGTAGAAGTTGTTGAGGCAAAACTAAGACCAGCTGTACCAGTATTACTAAATATACTTGAAGAAGGAACTTTCTCTGTAAAAAAAACGTTCATGAAAATAAAATGAAACTTTATATAAAATGGTCTTTCAGATAAAATGTTTCATGGTCTTGCTTGCTTCCTTGTAGCTTAATGCAAACAAAGTTTGATTTAAATTCCCAATCCTATCAATCAAGATAGCTTGCCAGGCAAGGTAACATACGCCCACTGGCAGCTGTCAGAAATGATAAAACAGTCTTTAGTGACTAAAGTATGAATTTTCTCATATTAAAGAAATTTTAATAGTTTGAATTCAATGATATATATATTTACTGACAGTTATTTATGCTGAGAAATTCCACCAAATTTTTAAAAATCAATATCAATAACCCAAATACATCAAATTATCTCATCAATATACATGATCAAACCATGTTTCATTAAAATCAATTGAAAACTGTAGTCTCTATTGTGTTCACAAACAAATATTGACGTGTTTTTCCTAGGTCAAGCCTTTCATCGAAAGATCGTCAAATTCGAACTTGACGAAGATCTCATCAATATAAATGATCACACCAAATTTCATTAAAATCAGTTGAAAACTGTAGTCTCTATTGTGTTCACAAACAAATTTTGACGCATTTTTCCTAAGTCATGGGCAATAACTCGAAAACCGTTCATCGCAGATCGTCAACTTCGAACCTGACCAAGATCTCATCAATATAAATGATCACAACAAATTTCATTAAAATCAGTTGAAAACTGTAGTCTCTATTGTGTTCACAAAAAATGTTGACAGACCAATGGACCAAGGCGACGGCAATATACGTCCACATTTCCATATTCGTATAAAAAACGATTCTCTCAAAAAAATGTGGACGTATTCTACAAATCTGCTGAATCTAGCAAGTAAATTTGAGGATACATTATGTAAAAAAAACTCAAACACAAAATTTACTTGCAAGATTCAGTAGATTTGTAGAATATGTCCAAATTGATTTTTAGAGAATAGTTTTGATTGATAGACTTTCGAATATATACTGTTTAACTGTGCCTATGCCCTATTATTTCCTTTAGCATAACTACTGATTTGCTTGATAATTAATAAGTCCCATTAGGACAACTACACATGCTACATAGGCTAAAAAAACAAGAAGCCTTACTTGAGACTAACCTTTAACTGGTGATAACGACTTTCCTTTCTTGATATTGAAGACAATTTCGGGATCACTGTCATTACTGTTTTCTTTTAAACTGTCTGATTTCTCCTCATTATTATTATTTTTTTTAATATCTTCTAAGTGCTTAGAATAATCAGTAAATATAGGAGTCAATATACAATAAGGGTCACGTTCTATATGTTTTTTAATCCATTCCAACACTGATTTATTCAGACTCTTCAAAGAATGATAATAAGAAGTGTTTTTATTAGTGCTAGCTGTTTTTACAGTGTCTGTAAATCCATTAGATGGGTTTTCCACTTTCTCTGTGGCAGCAATTGAGCTTCCAGCAACAGTTGGTGTTGGTTTTTTAGCAGCTAAGCCTGCAAATCCCCCGAAAGCTGAAAATGAACTTGTTCCAGTCTGAAATAAAAAAGATTGTGGAACATGTCATAGTACTATCAAATTGGTATGTTGTTGGTAAAATGAGAATCATTCTCACCTGATGTACATTTTTTGTGCTACACCTACATACTAAGTCTTACGAAAAATGAAAGGAGCATTTACATTTCAATTATATACAAGATCATAACTTTCAACTTTATTTTCATCTGTGTATTACACAATCTTTTTTCAAATAAATATCAGTTAAAAACTTTATTCTATATAGAAATTGCTCAATTTCAAACTTGATTTTCACTTGTGTATTGACAACAAATTTTAACAAAGATAGCTTGCCAGGCATGGTAATATACAGCCACCGTCAGCTTTGATTTTAAATAAAAAATATTTGGCAGTACAGTACCAATCACCAGAATGAAATATTCAAAATCCAGCAAGAATTAATCCTTTCAGAGTTAACAACCTAATAATTGAACCTGGTCAGTAACTCATATAAAATATTTTTATTTGTAGAAGGGATCATCCATTGGTGATAATAAATAAATAATAAATATTTCAGCAATTTCTGATTTTCAATAGGATTTAAATTTGGGTGACTACAAACACTCACACCAAGTCACAGATTAAATCTTATTAAAATCGTGGAATAGCATGTAATAAATCATATTTTTAGATTAATTGTGCTATGTTTTGACAGCTTTTCAATCATGGCCTGTAGGATAGTCATGTTTAATAGAATTCATCAAATTTTTATCTTGATTTACAACTTTGATATGCAGTATATTGAAGAAAGATTTTGAATCATATAAAACAACTCTAATTACTAACTGCTTTGTGTATTGAAGGTATTCTAGAAAATTTATATTTGTGCAAGTGGTTTTTAATTAAATATTTTGTTACGGTTTCATATGGTTTAGACTTACTAAGTGCATCAGGATAAAAATCTACCTACTGATTCATTTTGAGTCCTTCTCTTAGCTTTCTTCATTGGTCTATTCTTAAGAATGTCAGTAGTAGCCTGAGCAAACACACCAACCTAGAAATAATGTACAAAAAAAGAACTCAGACATTCAATTCACACAGCAGCAATTTTCATGAAATTCGGCATGATGCTTCTTTTTTTTTTTTAAAATCAATTGATAACTAAAGGAGCATTGGCAAAATGTGAGATTATGGAGAATAAGTACTGGTAGTCATAAAGCTCTCAAATTGCAGCTTAATTAAAATTTTATGTTTTCACTAACTTATACACATGCCATGTGACGCAAAGAAAGTTATACCATATGTAAGTGGTGTACTCAACAAAACTCAATCAAAACCACTCGCCTGACCTCGATATCGCATTCAGATTCTGAACTTAAATTACCGATCTGCTTTTCTGAACAGGAATCATGTGACATTGAGAGAAAATCAACAGTTTGCATCAAAAACAAATCTTGAACATCTTAAAGGAATACTAAAAACTTCCCAATTGCAGAGTGAGAAGTTTTAGAAATATATCTTCAAATGTAAAGTGAAGTAGTAGTTTGTGTATTACACATATATATACTATACCTCTTCTGGCTCATCTTCTTGATCCCAGTTCCTATCTGTTAATTCACTTGCTGCTGTTCTTTTAGCCATGTTTAGTTGATCTTAGCAAAAACTTCTGTTAATCTGTAAAGAATTATTGCCATCATAATCATGAAATAAAAATAAAATAGGCCTATTTCTATAAGAAAAAATTTGTAATGCAAGCAGATAGAGAAAATATAATAGACAATATCCTTTCCTTCAAAAAAACAAGTGTATTTATGTCACTACTAGAACAGATAGCTTGCCAGGCAAGGTTATACACAGCCACCACCAACTGTTACAAATGACAAGTCTTTAGTGACTTGAAAATAAATTTCTCATAGTCTTAAAACTTTTTACATCAAATTACCATTAACTTCAAACATGAGCAAGGTCCTATGATTGTAACAAAATCAGGCATAAAAATGCACATTCACGCCAAGTCTGATATAAACACTAGCTGCCAGGGTCTTGCTGGATTCGCGAAATGTCATACCTATTTGTCCATCGATACAGTATATATTTTCCATCTGAAAATCTTTGACAATTTGTTTAATATTCATTTTCGAAAATCGGGAACCATCCTGGGGAACATTAGATGCACAATGCTTTCATATGAAAAATATTTGAGATGTCGGGAACAAGAAATGGAACAAGTCAATAATTTGGTTTTCATATTCATGGCAGAAAATGTCAACATAAGATGAAGTCATTAGGTCAATGATATCATTTGATGAAGTTGTCAAAACAAAATCGGAACAAGTTCATGTCTTTTGGGACTACAGTTTGAGAAGCTGACAAGGGACTGCAAGGAGCGACAACTCTGTATGAGCAATTGATGACGTCATAGTTTTTGATTTATCAAGTCTTTAATGATTCTCCAAAATAGAGCGCCAGAGGCTCTTAGAAAGCCAATTTGTTAAGATAACTCTCAACTTTATACCAGCTCTGATGCCCTGATCTGATGTATATTTTGACAGCTGTTTGCTGGAGTAGAGTCATGCATTAGCCTGCACTTTTTCGATTTCCAACTGTCATGAGATCTTACTTGCACAGCCTGTAGCAAAATAGCTATCAGAGGCTGGAATAGAGAAAGATGTTTCGGTCTATTGTAAGCTGTGCACACTAGGTTAGCTAAGCGTAAAAATTTACTCTTGAAAATGTCTTCAACTTTTGAAGCCTTTTCAGATTCTGAAGAACAATGTGGAATCTGTTCATGGCTATGGGTATCAACAATTATTCACTATTGCTTTAATAATTGCTTAATTGGCCTATAAATAAATCTAATACCTCATATCAAATTTAAGATAAATATCACTCAATTCATGCCTCCATGTAGTCCATGGGCGCAGCCATTTTGTTACCTGTTTACCTAACATAAACTTACGTGTTACTACGCAAGATCTCGAAATTAACAAAAGATTCCCCAAAACTCTTATCAGGTTTAAGAAGATGATAATAATAGAATGAACTTTTAATAGTTGATCGTTATAATTTTAACCGCTAATGACCAAAGATGTTATTATCATAATGCAGAAAAACGTTTTCCTCATCACTTTACTAACTTTCTATCATCCATCCGGGAACCTTTCGAACAAATTACTCAATATGTCTACCGCTACTGAAAATAGTTCGTAGACAAAATAAGATATTGTAAATAGAAAATGTGATTATTTCGAATTGGAATAAAAGAAATGTTGGATACAAGCATGCATATCTTATTTGTATTAGCTATATTTTAATTATTTGAATACTCCACTTTTTAAATGGGCGCAAGAACTCACTGATTGTCTTGTTATGTTCCACATAGACCGATTCTCTCTGATTATTCTGTGTCGATCGGAATTAATTAATACCTTAACTTCTGGAAAACCGTGCCATCATTGTTGCATAAGTGAAAATGTCTCAGGGAGACTTGGATCTCATTCAGACCAAACTTAAATTGGCAATTCAGAATCATCAGGTAATAATATTTTGTTATTGTTATGATCTCAAACTGCTTTTTTCACACTTCTCCAAGTGTTCCCCCATACATTTGTTATGATCTGTATAAAACTTTGTTGTACAAAGTAAAGTTCCTTGAAGTCAGTAAATTTGTTTCCTTATTGTTTACACAAATACCATTTACACCTTCAAATAGAAATGTTCTGTTTTTACAATTTTACAGATCATCTTGGAATCTATTATTAGAGCTATAGGCTTATGGACCTTGTCAGTGTCAAAATATATTTTTATGTTTACTCAGACTATGATGTTTTGCTAGATTTAGGAAGAGTAAGCTTGGGGAGAACATTGCATATTAGCCTTGGTTTTATATTGATTATGGAAATTTTACATTGTCATAGTGTAGAATATATTATGTTTTATTTTAATTTCAGACTCTTGTTTCCAAGTTAAAAAGTGATCCAAAGGTATGTTGATATGTTCTTCCTTCTTCACAGTGATTGTATGATTATTGATTTTTGTTGATGAAACTTTTTAGTTCCTACAATCCTAGCCTATTTGCAGCCATTTTCTTTCACACAGAATAGTATTGTGTTTTTCTGTTTCTAGAATCAAATTATGAAGAACAAACTAAGAGAGCTTCAAGTTGAAATTATGCATTTAAGTGAAAGACAAGTAAGTACGAGTTTATGTTAATGTTTATGTTATGTTAGTTGTACAGTGGTGTAACCTATATTTGTGCATGTAAGGAAAGATTCAAAACCAAATTTCATCAGAATTAAAAATCATAATTTTATTATGTCTTAAATGTTTCTTCAGATATTCTATAAAATAATTAAGACTGGTTGGTTTCAATTTTCTTTATGAATCTCCCACTTTGACCCATATTTCATGAGTAACCAACTTGACAACGGCTGAAAAATTCACCTATTTCTTCGCGTACAATGTTTGATGTATAAATAAGTTGAGAAAAACACGTTGTATGGATACCCAGTGGTATAATTATCATTTTTATACGCCCAAACGTAAGTATGGGTGTATATTGCAGTTGCCCCTGTCGGTCCGTCAGTTCACATTTACCTCGTGCTCACTCTACAGGCTACAATTCTATAGATTCTTTTGATCTTTTGTATGTGTCAATATCATTATGATGATGTGCACTATTGATGTGCACTCTACAGGCTATGATATAGAGTTTGTTTTACAGTTCACATTTAGCTCTTTATCAAGCTGCTGGTGGGCATATTCGCATGCGAGACTTGATGCAAGCATACGTTTAGTATTTAATTATAATATTAAGTTATTATAACTAATGACATTTCTTCAAAAAACAATGAATTAAAAAAAGAAAATATTGACTGACAGAATTAGATAAGTAAATCGTAACAGTAATATATTTAGTCATTGAAACAACATAAGAATACTGCCGACATCGTGATCCATTGAATTTTTCTAATGACACAGAATCCCCTAGTTTTTCACTGGAATATATTCGAGCAAACGACACTTGGAAGTCTGATTACAGCTTGGGATTAAAAGAATATTTGGCCAATAAAAAAATTGTGATATTTGGTAATAACTTAAATCCACCATTTTTATACGCCCACATTATATTTGACGTATATTGTCGTCACCCATGTCCATCCGTCTGTCGGTCAGACTGTCCACAATTGGCTCGTGAACGCGATAGAGACTACAGTTTTCATCTGATTTTAATGAAATTTGGTGTGATCATCTATAATGATGAGATCTTGAACAAGTTCGAATTTGACGATCTTTCGATGAATGGTTTTTGAGCTATTGCCCTTGACTTATGAAAAACTTGTCAAAATTTATTTGTGAACAAAATAGAGACTACAGTTTTCATCCAATTTCAATGAAATTTGGTGTGAATATTTATAATGATGAGATCTTGGACAAGTTCGAATTTGGCTATATTTCGATGAATGGTTTTTTAGTTATTGCCCTTGATTTATGAAGAACGCTTCAAAATTTGTTTGTGAACACAATAGAGACTACAGTTTTCATCCGATTTAAATGAAATTTGGTATGATCATTTATAATGATGAGATCTTAGTCAAGATTAAATTTGACAATTTTTCAATCAACAGAATTTGAGTTATTGCCCATGACTGAGTAAAAACGCATTAAAATTCCTTAGCTATAGAGGTGACAGTTTATGTCAGAATTTTATTAAATAATGTGTGTTTGTTTAAATCATCAATATCTTGCACAAATTAGATTTTTGGTATGATTTGACACAGATAGGTGACTGCCCTTGATATACTGAAAATGTACCAGGTAAGTGGGCGTATCTTGCTAGACAACCACTTGTTGATTTTTTAGATAATAATCTTCAAAATTGCTTTGAAAGATAGGAAATATTCTGCAGGTTGTAGAAGTGACCTATGTTTATCAAAACATGCAAATACGGAGGTCATGTGAGGTTGCACATGAGATTTATTTTGTCATTTCCAGACACACATGATATTAGGTTTGCACAAAATTAGTTTATTTGACTGTGACATAATGGTTGTTGTAGATCTACTATGATTATAAGTTTATCATATTCGTTTTTAACCCCTGTCTTAAATCAGATTGATTTTGATTTTTTTTATATAAAATTTTCAACATGGGCTTCTTTTTTAAAGCTTTCATGATGAAAGATTATTTGTCTTTCTTCTATTTTGTATTATCCTATAGAAAGTGAATAATAGTATGACCTATATTAATGGTGTATTTGCTAGATTTTTGGCAGCTGTTTTGTTTGAAACTTACACCTGGTGTTGAAAACTTTTGAAAACAAGTATTTTGCTTTGAATTGGATTAGACAAATAATTTTTTAAAATTTAACACTATGATTTAACACTATGATTTTATGGAGTTATATTAAATTTCCTTTGCTGGTTTAATAAGGTAAACATGCATGATATTAGCAGAATGTCCTGGTGCAGGGTTAAGTTGACTTTTATTGATGACCATTTCGTATACTTGTACACTTACATCATCTCAATGGGCTCAAATTACTTTTAGTATTCTAAACACAGTATCAGCTACCTACTGTAATATGCATCAAATAATTATCAGAAAAAATATTCTTTAAAGATGGGTTTCCTTATTTTTTAGTTTAAAATTAAGCAAACTATTTGATTAATTGGTGTTTCTAATGAATTATCATGTATTCTTAATCATATCATAATGTTCTTATTGCATATAATTAAGAGTCTTAACCAATATAAATATCCATGTATGTACAGCCTGGATAAACAAAAAAAGACTTTTTGACCTTTCTTGATCAGTCACTCATTGGAATTCTGATGGCTATTCTCTTTTAATTTAGCTAATTATGAATTAATTTTCATATTCACATGTATCATTTTCATGTTCATAAATGAAAATAAGGGAACCCATCTTTAAGGATTAAAGTAAAACTAGGGTTATTAAGAAATAAGATTTAGATTGGTCTAATGTAGTCTCAATATACTTAAATTTAGATTAGAATTTTGTTTCTTTCATTTCTGATACTCTGGATTATGATCCAAAATTTTTTCTGCTACATTTTTGTCATATTATTATTAACCAATCAAGCATGTCATCTTAGATCTTGATGATCTTTATTGATTAAAAATTACACCATTAGAAACAGCTGTAAAAAACCTGTTAGATTGGAGAAAAAAAATCTTAGAATAAAAACGAAAAGTTCAATTAGATTGGGGTTGTCTAAGCATTTTATATATAAGCTTAAGCTTATTTGAAACCAAACTTTTTCGTCATAAATATTTACTTTGTGACCAGTGCTTTTATGAGACTTTTTTTTGTCATCACTATCTAACACTAAAAATTTTATTTTTTTGTTTCTGGTCGTCATTTTTGATGCAAAGATCAGGGATCTTAGTTTATTGGGTTTTTTTTTCTCATTTTTATGAATTATCCTCATGTTGAAAATTTTGCCATTTTATTATCGTCTTTCAATGCCCTGATGTCGAGTCATGAAGATGACTCTAAATGCTTTGATGTCAAGTGACGTTTTTTTAGACAAAGTATGAGGCAAAAAAAAAAACAGAAACCTATAGACTGTTCTTATTTAATCACCAGTCATCTTAAATTCTGAAAACTTACTATTCCCTTAATCTACAGTAAGCCTTAACATAACAGATATGTCATTAAAATCTTGATTGTCTTTATCAGTAGGTTACATTGATCATTTCCGACCCAACTTTTCAATTTATTTCTTCAACTATTTCTAGTCATTTTCATACATTAAGACTTTATTCACCCTTCATTTTTGAGACACTGAAAGCGAAGTTCAAAACACAAATTACGTCTTCCATCAGTTGACGTCAGTTAACAACTGATTAACAGCGAGGAGATGGATTAAAACTGGTCTTTGACAGAAATGTGTAAAGATAAACTTGATCTGAAAATACCATTAAATAGCTCAATGAGCTCCGAATTTAATGATGCAAAATTTGATGAGGTTTGACAAATAAGCCAAAACACTAAAACTTATATTTATTAGTAAAAGTTTCATCGACTTAGCTTAGTTGACAAAAAATATTGATCATTTTGTATGATTTAAGACAGTTCTTCTTTAAACTCTTGTTATTTCATGAATGATTTCCTTACAGAAACTGGCTGTACAGAATTTAAGAAAGGAAATAGTACAAAAGCAACCTGTTACTAAAAGTATAAATACTGGAGTACAACAATATGTATCTATAGCTCCTCAGCCTGTAAATATAAATACTGGTACCACTACACTATTAAACACTACTACCACACCAGTTAATTTTGTTACTATACCAACTGCTCATATACAGGTAATACCAGACATTTTTACTAAAGGTACAATGATGACGAGCAATGCTGTAACGCCATCTATTAGCGATTTTGATCACATATCGCTCCCTTCAGTCTCTTGTCAGCAGCACTCAGTTGATCTGTCTTTTTACATTTCCTGCTCTTAGAATTTTTCATTTTTTTTTTAGCAATTTTAATAAAAGTTACTATCATATCCTAATAATCATAGAATAATGAATGTTAAGTTTGATCTCTTTCAGAAGATTATTGCCATTGTTCCCTAGTAAAGAATATTGGCTCATCACTTGTTTAGTTTAGAATTGCAATCTTTTCATTTTGGGCTTATACTGGGTGATTACCAGATTCCCCACCCAAATATCTTTAAAGTGGCATTCTGCATTTTTTGTAGGTTGAAAAAAAATTTTTTCGCTCAAATTTGTGAAACTATACACCAATATCTAGAGAAATGTGTCCAATGTATCTGAAAGTTTTAACTAATAAAATTCAGCCATTAATCTTTTCATGCAAATACTATTTAAAAAGTTAACATAAACTTTTAACATTTCTTATGCTTTTTGAAAACGTCTGTTAAACAAAATAAACGCCTAATTAAAGAGAAATATCTTGGGTGACTGCTTGAAACCTTGTATAACAATATGATGCAGAATTACTTTTCTAGAAAAACACAAAAAACTATTTGTTAAAATCTTTTTTATTATTTTTTTTTTACTGCTATACATGGTTTTCATTCTTTGAAAATATAAACCTCGTATAACAATTTGAGATCTCCGGCCTATTGAACCAAAAACTTATATAATAGTACAGTATACGAGGTTTTTCATTTTCATACACAGAAAAGGAACATTGAATCTCATATGATAATAATTATATTTTACGAGGTTTTAAATCTGACTGTTTTTATACATGTTATTTAATTAGTGCTTTTAAAGTTACTTACAATCAAGCTAAGAATACGAGGTTTTCATCACAAGATCCGTGCTTTTATGAGCTTTCGAACGGTACCAAAAAGTCAAAATGACCAAATCTAGCATATACAAGGTTTCAAGCAGTCACCCAAAATATGTTTCCTATCTATTCTAAAGGTTTCAAGTTATAATATCGAGTCATTATAAATGTAAACACCAAATCTAGGTCAAACTGCTTAATTGACAATTAGGCTAGTACTCCCTGTTTTTGAATAACCCTTTTAAAACAAATTCGTAGATACATAGGTGTTAAATACATACTTTGTAATATTTTCAGGTATAATTGACGACTTTTTTGACATTGAAATGTTTTTTTACAAAAAAAGTGGGATGTCCCTTTAAAAATTCCAACTTATTCTGAATCTAGAAATAAATCACACGATAAATTCCAAAAGGGCCACATATTTAAATATTCTAGAATAAGCCTTGTATTATGACAATTTATCAATATTAAGTACGCTTTACAAAATTTCAGGAATTTCCTTAACCTATGAAAGAGTATTGGCAATGGATAGTAAAATATTGTATGGGTCCCCCTTTGGAAACACTAAAGACTAATATTTCTAATGAATGATTTTGTTTATATTTCAGAAAACCTTACCACAGCCTGTTGTTAGTTCTAATTGTTCTGTTAATGATTTGAAATTAAATCAACAAAAAATCAACAATAACAACATAATCAATCGTAGTTCATCACCACCAATAAGAGTACCCCATTATCAAATGAATAATAAGTCTAGCTTAATTATACAGGTAAACTTCAGTTATGTAATTTGTTTGAAAATGCAGACAAATATTGCTATTGTCAGTATTACTTGCATTATTACCACTGTACGGATAGCGTCAATTTGCACCATTCCGATTTTCAATCAGTCGTCCTTCCTGCTAAAGTTAAGTGTTTGAAGTGATATCATCACAAATTGTGAAATATGCATTATCACATAAGGCCCTTTAAAAACACTTAGTTTAAGTGGAATTGCAGGAACCACAGAAATCTGATTGAAAATCAGTATGGTGCAAGTTGAAGCTTTGAGTGTACTCAATACATATTAAAAATTTAGAAAACCTCTTTATAATCCCTTCAAGAAGTTTAATGAAATTTCAATGTTGGCAATTCATCAATGACTTTCTTTTAATTTAATTTAATTATTCTGAATTGGCTTAATTTCCTACTCTTCAAAAGAACTTTATTATATATGAATATTTTGAGATATTACCTGTACACTGTAAGATTTGAGTACTGGAGTATTAACATTGATTATGTTTTTATTTTAGAATAAAGTACAGTGCAATGATAAAAATAATAGAGTTACTGATAAACCTAACAGTAATGAAATGAAGAAGCCATTTGATAAAAAACCTGTCAATTTAGAAGAAAAATTGGTAAGTTTAGTGTTTCAAAACATCTACTTTCCACTTTACTATGAAGATATTACGAACTCGATACAATTCTTTGACATCATTAGCCATTTTAATACGCCCACACAAATAGTTTGGGCGTATATTGTATTCACCCTGTCGGCCTGTCAGTTCACATTTGGCTCGTGCTCACTCTACAGGCTACAATTCTTTATGGTTACTTTTGATTTTTGATATGTGGGTCAATGTTATGAAGATGATCCCTGTTGATTTTTTTGATGATCTGATCATTTTTCACCGAAATATTGAGTCCAACTTAGCCATATTAGCTATATTGTGCAACTCATGCTCATTGAAGATCCCTATAGATTTTCGTGATGATCTGATCATTTTCACCAAAATGTAGTTTTCAGCTTATTGTATATTCACTCTTTTAGCCATATGTCATTTTTTATACGCCCACACATTGTCATCTGTCCATCAAACAATGATTTATACTTGCAATCAAAGATGCTGGTGGACGTCATCTTGCTTCACAAGGCTATCTTTGTTATTTTTAGATTTGTACATTGTGAGAGTTGAATATGTAGCCAGTTAAAAACCTTATTACAAAACATCATTACCTGACCTGATTTTTTCAGAGTATATTTTATTTTTTGAATCAAAATATACATTCACAAAACATATGAATATTTTAGATATATATATATATATTCATGCTTATACAGTTAAATATTCATATTTTTCAGAAAATTCAGTTTATGGCAGCATTAGATTTGGTCACTCCAGAAACATTAAAGGGTAAATGCTATTTTTGCTTCCATTTAAGTTTAAATTAGGTAAAAACATTAAGCAGTGATGGAATTTTTTTTTTCTGACTTTCTAAAGTTAAATCATTGGAAAAAAAGGAAATATTTCATAAGTTTTTGCCATTCTTTGAAATATGTTCAGCTTGTGAACACAGTTCTTGATGAATTTTGAGCAGACTTCATCTAGGTTTTTTTTATCACCAATGCAAAAACTCTATTGAAAATTGAGAAAATGGTATGAGTTATTGTCCTCGTTTTCGAAACTTCTTGATGGATTTTGACAAATCTTGGTGAAATTGTATATTATTACCCATGGATGAAACCTGTAATAAATATGCTGCTGCTGCACAAAAAAAAGCTTATGTGATTTTTTTGTATTCATGTTATATAAACTTACATGTTAGGCATGACCATGTCGTTTCGGTGAATTGGACCCATTTTGACCCATGATGTAAAATAAGGAATTTATTAGTATTATTTGATATCTGTAGGTCAGGCCACATATTCTCGAAACGATCTTACTGCTAGGATATAGTAGGTTCTTATCTTCTAACATTGATTCTAGGACTTTCTAGCACTAAGATCTTTTTGAGAATACACGGCCAGGTCTTTGATCAAAGGTTGAGATCACTCTGATATATATTTTAAAAGTTCTCATGTCCATAATCCAATTTGAGGGCTGCGAGGGTAACAATGTGTAGTCATTCAGATAAGAAACTTAATTGAGGTTATAGGGTACTGTATATACAGATACATTAACAGATGAGAAATTAGACTTAGGCAACTGTTGTGACATCTTTGCATACTACATGACATAGTGTGTCTTCATTGTCTCATTTCATGGATTTTGCTGTTGTAGAATTACAGTGTAAAAGAACAGAAAGAAAGAGAAGATCAACAGCTAATCCTCAATTTAGTTATATAGAACCTGAGGTATATATTATTTTGTTCAATGTTATCTGTGGATTTCCTCTCCATCTGTAATTTGAAATATTGTCATGATGTATTCAGTCAAATATTAAGTTTGTAAATATACAAATTGTGCAGCATCAGGCTGGTTATTTCGTTATCATTGGACTGAACAGCTCATATCTGAAAACACTAAAGACTCCAGATAAAAGAAAGTTAGGTTCAAAGAAAATGTGAGGATGTATCTGTAACCTGAAATGTTCTTGAGCAATTGCTTTAGCTACTTTCATTAAGAAACAATGTTTATGATTTTATTTATAGAAAAGACAAAGAGTTGCTGGTTATATGATCAATAATATTCCTACAATAGTTAAAAGAGGTAGAGGTATGTATCAATCTTATGATATCCAAACTGAATCTGTTTTAAAAGGGTCAATTAAAAACGGAGAGTACTAATTGTTATTTAAGCAGTTGAATCTAGTTCTGGCGGTTGGCTTTACAATGGCTTGATATTATTGAGAAATCTTCAGAATACGAATACGAAACAGTTTCCAAAAAGATGAACTTTAATAAGGACTTAAAAATTTTAAATAGTTTTGAACTAAAAAAAAAAAAAAAGTGGAATGACCCTAAAAATGAAGTTTATGTTTTATGAAATTGTCACAGGCAAAATTGGAAATTTTAGGTAGGCCACCAAAATATGGCACTTCACCTACCAATAGTCGACCAAATACTCCTACAACACCACACTCTACTGTTGATACTGGTGTATTAGACCATATACCATCTCTTAATAATAACCAGGTAAATATTTTATATTATACCACACTCTACTGTTGATACTGGTGTATTAGATCATATACCATCTCTTAATAATAATAATAACCAGGTAAATATTTTATATTATACCACACTCTACTGTTGATACTGGTGTATTAGATCATATACCATCTCTTAATAATGATAAAAACCAGGTAAATATTTTATATTATACCACACTCTACTGTTGATACTGGTGTATTAGATCATATACCATCTCTTAATAATAATAACCAGAATATTATACCACACTCTACTGTTGATACTGGTGTATTAGACCATATACCATCTCTTAATGATAATAACCAGGTAAATATTTTATATTATACCACACTCTACTGTTGATACTGGTGTATTAGATCATATACCATCTCTTAATAATAATAATAACCAGGTAAATATTTTATATTATATCACACTCAACTGTTGATACTGGTGTATTAGATCATATACCATCTCTTAATAATAATAACCAGAATATTATACCACACTCTACTGTTGATACTGGTGTATTAGATCATATACCATCTCTTAATAATAATAATCAGAATATTATACCACACTCTACTGTTGATACTGGTGTATTAGATCATACACCATCTCTTAATAATAATAACCAGGTAAATATTTCATATTATATCACACTCTACTGTTGATACTGGTGTATTAGATCATATACCATCTCTTAATAATAATAACCAGAATATTATACCACACTCTACTGTTGATACTGGTGTATTAGATCATACACCATCTCTTAATAATAATAACCAGGTAAATATTTTATATTATATCACACTCTACTGTTGATACTGGTGTATTAGATCATATACCATCTCTTAATAATAATAATAACCTGGTAAATATTTTATATTATATCACACTCTACTGTTGATACTGGTGTATTAGATCATATACCATCTTTTAATAATAATAACCAGAATATAATACCACACTCTACTGTTGATACTGGTGTATTAGATCATATACCATCTCTTAATAATAATAACCAGAATATTATACCACACTGTACTGTTGTACTGGTTTATTAGATTATATACCATCTCTTAATAATAATAACCAGGTAAATATTTTATATTATATCACACTCTACTGTTGATACTGGTGTATTAGATCATATACCATCTCTTAATAATAATAACCAGAATATTATACCACACTCTACTGTTGATACTGGTGTATTAGATCATATACCATCTCTTAATAATAATAGCCAGTTAAATATTTTATATTATAATACCACACTGTACTGTTGATACTGGTGTATCAGATCATACACCATCTCTTAATAATAATAACCAGGTAAATATTTTATATTATACCACACTCTACTGTTGATACTGGTGTATTAGACCATATACCATCTCTTAATAATAACCAGGTAAATATTTTATATTATATCACACTCTACTGTTGATACTGGTGTATTAGATCATATACCATCTCTTAATAATAATAACCAGAATATTATACCACACTCTACTGTTGATACTGGTGTATTAGATCATATACCATCTCTTAATAATAATAACCAGGTAAATATGTTATATTATACCGCACTCTACTGTTGATACTGGTGTATTAGATCATATACCATCTCTTGATAATAATAACCAGGTAAATATTTTATATTATACCGCACTCTACTGTTGATACTGGTGTATTAGATCATATACCATCTCTTGATAATAATAACCAGGTAAATATTTTATATTATACCACACTTTTCCATTTTTTCAATTCTCATCTTAAATAATTTGTTTTATTTGATATTATAGACAGAAGATTATTCGTGTGCTGTTTGTAAAGGAAGGGGACAAGTTTTACAGTGTAATAGTTGTTATAAAGTTTATCATATGAAGTGCTTAGAACCACCATTATCATACGTACCTACAGGATATTGGTGTTGTACAGCTTGTCAGGTAAAAAACACTTCTTTATCTAAATAGTTATAGTCAGCGTTTCCATTAAGATGTTTATCTTTGTGAAACAGGGAATCAAGATATATTTGTATTGTTATTATTACAACTTTATTCCAGTAATACCTCATTCAATACCGCTCATGAATACGGTGTTCACAGTGTCGATGTTGCGAATTTGTCACGAAAATGGAGTAAAATTGACGACACCAATTTTGGCAACTTCTACAACCTTCACCTTGATCCCCTGCAAAAATACCAGAAACTTCAAATATGGTTGTTTTTTGTTGATAAAGAGCTTGGAATTGGATTATGAAATATATTGATGCCGCTAACACAACCTCTTCTCCACATTAGTTATAAAGCTGTGAACGGTCTCAACTTTTGCGCATGAGATTTGGATTTTTGAGAAAGTAGTAAACACTATTTTCACAGCACGTATTGAACACAACATAAGCACCTTTTTCATATGGGTGGCGCTTGATTGGTGAGATCTGAATATGTTCTACTTGGTCCAATTCTGGCCTAAAAATCATGTAAAAGATTATGTCACATTCAAATTTTCCTTTCTCATCCATTTTAAATTCTGTCTGCACCTACCATATTTTTGAACAGGTGGAAGAGAATTTCCTCAATTAAAAATGTTAGCCCCCTGGTAAATCATATCAAAATGGATACATTTTCACATAATCAGCTGAATGTTTGAGTTATATTTATAGACTAATGGTACTGTTTTATCATTAAATGGTAATGAATCAATGGCTTTAGTTAATTCTTACATAGCAACAAAAACTGGTAAGTTTTATCAAATATGCTCTGAATAGAGTTTTCCAAATTTGAGCGTGTGTCATCTACAATTGCTTTTTGAATTTAATAGCTATGGCTAAACTTATTGATTGTAGTGTACCAGCTACATTTAATGATGGGTTCCCTTGTTTTCATTTATGAAAATAAAAATGCTAATATTTATATGAATAGAAAGTAGAGGTGTTCTAATGATTGGTTAAAACTCTTGATTAAATGCAATAGGAAAATAGTGATTTGATTAAGAATACATAATGATTCATTAGAAACAACAAAAAATGTGCTTAGTTTGACACTAAGAAATAAGGAAACTCATCTTTAGTGAAACATGTATTACTTCTTTCGATGCTTTTGCTCTTTCCTTAATTTGATTCACTATTCCTGGAAACAATGATCTGTAAGAATTGCAAACTTTGGAATATTGTGGGCCTGAAATACATTTTGAATAAACTGGTCATCAGATTTCAATATCAGCTGTTCAAAACATATTCAGAACAATGTCCCTTTTGAAATAGTTAATAACTGTACAGGGTAAAATATTTGTGTGTATTAGTCTCTATCCATACATGTCTGGAACAAAGTGAAGTTTTTATATTTCTTTTATAGCCTTTCTATTTACTGGTTTTTTACAAGTTTTATCAATTGTTATTAAAACTTCAAACTCATTTTGATTCATTCATTTATTTTATAGTAAAAGAAGAAGAAAAAAGAAAATTACAACGAAGGACGACAGATTTGCTCAATGAACGTGAACTTTTAAAAGCCAAGTCCAAAGAATTAGATGAAAATTTAACGGTAAGAATATTAAGTATTAACATTGGTAGAGTAAACTTATTGCTGGTTCATATCATAATTTTGTTTGTACTTTAAAAAATCACCGGAAACACAAAAACAGATTGAATAAAAATTTTTTTATCAAATTCCTACATAGTGTATAATAGTTAATTACTATCAACACTTTACTATTTTGGGGTTTCTCTGATATTTAGTTTTGGGAAATTATTATAAACTGACTTACGTTTAAAGGGATTGTAAAGAGGTTTTCTTAATTTTTTATATGTATCAGGGAGACTGATATCATCAATTTTCGCCATTCCAATTTTTAATTAGACATCTGTGGTTCCTGAAATTCCACTAAAACTATACGCTTTCTTTATCACTTTTGATAATTAGTCACGGTACGTGTGATATTTATCTTTAATGTCGTCAACGGATTAACGCCAATAAATAGTTGAACTAATTAAGGTGCTGGTTTAGAGAGACTAATAAACTATATATTAACTATGTTGGGACTTGATTTCGATGCCGGATTGCGATTTAGAGGGGTGCTGTCCTATATATTATATAGTGATTCGACTGGGACTTTTCAAATGTACAGGTTTACAGAGTAATCTAGATTATAGGATGCAGTTAAGAGAGATGCTGGTTTAGAGGGGTTTATCTCCTATATATAATATAGTGATTCTGCCGGGACTTTTCAAATGTACAGGTTTACAGAGTAATCTAGATTATAGGATGCAGTTAAGAGAGATGCTGGTTTAGAGCGGTTTATCTCCTATATATTATATAGTGATTCAGCCGGGACTTTTCAAATGTACAGGTTTACAGAGTAATCTAGATTATAGGATGCAGTTAAGAGAGATGCTGGTTTAGAGCGGTTTATCTCCTATATATTATATAGTGATTCGACTGGGACTTTTCAAATGTACAGGTTTACAGAGGAATCTAGATTATAGGATGCAGTTAAGAGAGATGCTGGTTTAGAGCGGTTTATCTCCTATATATTATATAGTGATTCGACTGGGACTTTTCAAATGTACAGGTTTACAGAGGAATCTAGATTATAGGATGCAGTTTATAGAGATGCTGGTTTAGAGGGGTTTATCTCCTATATATTATATAGTGATTCGACCGGGACTTTTCAAGTGTGCCAGTTTTCAGAGAAATCTGGTTTGTAGAAGATGCAGTTTCGAGGGGTTTCTTTGTAGTTGTCTATATAGATCAATGGTCTCGAATTCTTGATTATTTCACTATATATATATTTTTATTTCTATTTATTTTAGAGTAAATTAAAGTGTAATCAAGAACTTGAAGAACATAATAAACAGACAAAAAGAAAAGTGGAAAGTTTGTCCAGTTTTTTACAAAGATTTACACCATCTATGTTATGTGAGAAGGATGGCTAGTGTGATTGTTTATTTATTTTCAACTTTATTATTTAACAGTAGTAAATAACTCTTTTTTTATGTCTATAAAGTTTGATGGTTGGTACCATAGTGCTCATCTCTGAAGACATATGAAATCTTTGTCATGTCCAATATAAACTAATTATTGTCTGAGCAAGCAAATTTGAATTTTTTTAAATTTTTTGAATTGGAATAGCAGCTTCAAAAGTACTCTTAGCCTTAGAATATCTTTGCGTTGATAAAAATATAATATTTTGTAAGTTTATATTGAAAAGAAACAAATTTCCCTCCTAGAAATATCAACCAAATAAAGTCACAAATTTTGGCTGAAAATTGTCCTCTGTAAAAACAAATTTTGAAGACATAATGTGTAACAATGTTTATGTTTTTATCAATGCAAAGACATTCTATTTTGAGGCCGAAATTCCATTTCTCGTAACAATAATGGGAAAAATTCAAAAAACTTTTTTCTTTGCTCAGGCAATAAGTTGTCCAATTTGATCTTATACTTAATGACTGGTTTGCTTAGTTAATTTATCATTGATAATCAAATTATGTACGGATATTAACTTAGATACAGGCAGATGGACTACAAAACTGAGAAGGTATCAGGGTTGAATTTAGACTGAAAAATTTGATCAGCAATTTATCACACCAAATTTTAATTTTGGCTATTCAAGTTAAATTTTTAACTGATTCACATTTCTTAAAAAGTTTGTGGTAATTATGTGTCAACAAATTTGCACTTAAATTATACAATTTGATCTTAATTCGCAGACCATTGTGATGCATTTTACTTTTGGCTACACACAAGGAATATTGGTGTCATTTTGAATGGCAATCTGCAATGTGATACCACTTGAATTGAACCCTGATAGATATCTGTGTTACTTCTCACAATGGTTCCAATGTTTGAGTCTGAATTTAAGAAATGCAATCATCAACATTGGGAATAATTCTATATTGCACTTCAACATTTCATAATTAACATAGTTAAAAACATTCTTCTTTGTTTATGCAAAGTTCTCTTTCAATTGTCTGATCAAGATGTTTGTATTGAATTTCAAAATTCTGTTCAACTGTATTAAGAAGTCTTTAAAACATGTTAATTGTTGCCTAAATGAACAATGTATTCTACTGGTGCTTTTATGATGGTGATTAAATATTGTTATTATGTCTTCCATTATCTGCTAATTTTGGTGATTTTTGTATCTATTTAACAGCTTTACAGACATTTCATCAAGTCTTAAAGAAATGTAGTTGACTAAATATAGCCCGAATAAGGTGATATAGCTATATTTCAGCTACCTGTTCCACTTTTCAGTATAAAGCTGACAACTGGTTCTCTTACAATTCAATACAAATGATGGAAGTTTAGACAGTTGTCACTTTCCAGACATTATTTTCTCAGATGAAGATATAAATTTATAGGTTCAAACTACCTGTGAGAATAGTAAAAATGGTCTGAAAGTGTCAACCATTTTAATTTCCATTGTACATTTTTTTTGCATAAAAGAAAAACAACCATTGGATTTTAAGAAAAGTGACTAGTAGTTACTTCAGTGGGACTGGAAATACTAATATTATTTTGACGACTGTATCTTTCATAAAAGATTCTGAAATGGTCTAGATACCGTGTATAATCTATTAAAGACTGGGTGTCAGTGCCTTAATGTCATACATGTATGTGCCTATTGTTTACAGTGATGTGCTTGTGTTTATTGTGTGTTATTTATAGTTTGTTATTGAAGAATATGTTTTTAATTTTATATGTCAAGATAGACCAGATTGTTTCCAGCTTTCTAAGAGCCCAAAATTTTTTCTTAAATGCAGAGTATTTTTGACTTCATCATTCTAGATAATCTCAAGAATTGAGGGATTTTTATGAAAATTCATTTGCTGATGAATTTGTACAAAAATTGTCTGACTGTCTAATTTATCAGTTTTAACTTATAGACTATTACATGTACATTAATACAGTATGAATATATCTAAATATGTTTTTTGTTCCAGCTGGTTTTAATAGCTACACTAGTTATTTATGCCTTGGGTATTTAACTGTTGCATTAAACCTAGAAATTTCTCATCTATGCTGGTATCTTGATTTCAGAACGTCAACTAAATTTTTTAAAATATCAATTCTGCTAAACATTGTAATCAGATGTAGATGCCAAATGCCACGATGATTACAATATGACAAGATTAGCCAGTGTATATGGATATTTGATTATAAAAGTATCTTATATATTTTCAATGCAATCTAGACCTTTCCTGAAAAGGTAATACAATGTAAATTGATTGTTGTATGAATACATTAAATAAACTCTGTATAAATAATAAAACTGAAGTATGTTTATGTGGAATTTTCTAACCTGTGTGTTTGCATCATTTGTGATGACCTCTTTTAGAAATTTTTCTTCTTTTTTTTTAGGTTTGTAAATATTCATTGTGTATATGGAATATGAATTCATAATATAATTTATTTTTACTTTGATTAACTTGTGTTCTTTTTGGTTTTCCCTCACATGAAAGAGGGAAATCTATTAGTGACTTTCTGATATAAACAACATGTATTGTCACTTATTATAAAATTTAGCAAGATATATAAGTTTCTGTTTTTGAGGATTTTCATAATTGGATTTTGCATTTTATACTTTAATGCAGATAATATTTCAGATCTGTTACATCTTAATTCTTCATACATGAACATGAAGAACAGAAATTGGATTTTGAATGGCTAATGTATGACGTGAGAAAAATCTACAAAATCATAATACCCTACATGTTCGAAAGGATCTTGAGTCAAAAGAACTGGCTGAAAGGAAATTATGCCTAAAAGATAGCTTGAGTTTGAGCAAGAACATGATTAAACCATTGATTATATCACAGGTATCTACAATTTTTTTTAGTGTTAAGTGACTATCTTGCTTTATCAGCATTTCGTCATTTCTTGGTTGTATTTCATATACCTGTGGTATTGATACGGTATCCAGATAATTCTACTTTAAATCTGGTTTACATCTAAGGCTCTTTTCAACTCCAGGTTATTGAAGCTGTCAATTCTTCTCATTTACTAATAAAGGACTAACAAACAAAATTTATTTTAAAAATATATTTATTGTCTCCATATGTACATAAAAGCACCAAGTACATTTGTCAAAGACATATCCCTAATAAAAAATAGTACATTTTGCAAATACATAATATCAAGAATCAAAAACAATTACTGTACGCATAACAAAATAAACAGAACTAATCATGATAAAATCTAGCAAATACACATACTTAATGTTTCAAAATATAAACACAAACAGTCTATTTGATCTTTTTATTAAAACTATACACAGACAAACCTTCATACGCTGGTTTCTAACCTGGAGTACATGAGAGGCGTCAAAGAGTAAAAACCTGATAACCAACAAACAGTGAAAGCAGAGAAAATCGCATACAAAATTATATTAAAGATGGGTTTTCTTTTTTTTTGTCAAATAAAGCAAACAATTTGACAAATTAGTGTTTTTAATGAATTATCATGTATTCTTAATCATATGTTTATGTTCTTATTGCATATAATTAGGAGTTTTAACCAATCATAAATGCTCATGTTTGTACAGTCTGGAAAAACAACAAAATATAATTTTTGACCTTTCTTGCTGGTAATTCTATTCTTATGTGGCTAATTATGAATTAGTTATGGACATGTATGGTATTTTTCCAAGTCATTAGAACACCTTTTCATATAAGTATTAGCATTTTCATTAAGGGAACCCACCCATGAAGTACTCATCATGTTGCTCTCACAAAACTAATCAGCTTTTTGCCTATCCTATTATACCCTTCAAATTATTTTGGGGAAAACACAACATAGCTTGATCCAATGGCTTTCAATGGGATCTCAAGACAATCATTTAGATATAAGCTTACATTTTTTTCACAAAATGTAAGTTATCAGGTTTTTGCTCAATATGCCTAAAGTACCCACTGCGGGTACCTAAAATGCTGAATGCAAAAGGAGAATCAGTGCTCTATTGGGTTAATTCCTATATTTCAAAATTAAGTAGATTGTTTGTGTTTATGTTATGAATATAGAATGTGCAGACATCATGTTCAGATTACAGTAAAAGTTACATTCTTAACCAAATCTCATAAAATAAATAAAAATACTATCAAAAAATAAACAAATGAATACATAAATACAATAACAGTTCACTTTTGATTTCCTTTTTTTTAAAAGGGGTATTCCGTTTTTGTAAAAAGTTTTCATTATCAAAAATGTAAATTATACCTGAAAATATTTCTATAGTATGCTATTTCCAAAAAGCATAACAAACAAAAAGAAACCCCAAAAAATGTTTTTAAATTAATCGCTGGATTTTTTTAGTTAAACCTTCAGACACGTTAAAGGGTATATTTCTCTACATTTTGGTGTATAGTTTTCACAAATTTGAGCAAAAACAATTTTCGACCTACCTAAAAAAGCGGAATATCCCTTTAACATATTATGAAAAAATCAAGTGTTAATTTCAAATCATCTTAGCAGATCAACTATTTTTTTAGTCTAATGAAGTCACATTTATCCACAGGTTTTGTCAAAGTTACGCAACATGCCAATCTGAAAAAAACAATACTTTTGCATGCAGTTGACAAACAGTGAAATTTTCCTGACTTTTGCTTGAAAATGTAAGACAGTAGCCTACAATGTTTCCAAAAAAAGCCCAATTCCTTCAAGCTGCTTTAAATATAACATAAACAAAATAAAATTCCCATTTGAATCAAATACATAATGGAATATATTGTCCCATGTTTTTGTGAAAAACTAAAAGACTAATACAAAACAAACTGAAGTTAAACAAAATCAACTTCAATATGAATAATTACATTATCAAATATTAATGATTCATTATATATAAATTTCAACCACCTAACAAACTTCATACTTCAGAGATACAGTATTAAATGCGATTCCATAACAATTTTGATCTTCAAAAATAACAAATTGATTGCTGAAAGTATTTGCCTACACTGAAGCAAAATTTATAGCAGCTTAAGATAAAGTGTTAAGAATTGACTGACAAGCTATTTCATTTTCTAAACTTCCTTTGAAAATTCGACACTTGACTAGAAAGCAATTTGTAATCCAGAATTCAAAGCTAGATGCACTTAAAATAGAATTTTAAGATCTTGGGCTATTGCACAAAACACTTTTGAGAGGTATTTGTTAAGGAACAAATGTTCTTTGTCTGTATTATGTATATTCATGTTTATTTTATGTAAATAAGTTATTCTACTAATTATTAAGTTTTAGTATTTAACACCAGCTGTGAGATATTGGAGATTTGCTACCTGTCATTGATACAAACATAATAAATAATTTAATTTTATTTATATCAGTGGTTTTGTATAAATCATTTATCATTAAAGCAACATAATTTCATAAACAGCAATCAGTTATTATCAAAACCTTTATTTGTCTGCTTACTAATCTTGATAAACTTTAAAGGATGATACTCCAGAAATTTAAAATTAGTCAAAACAATATAAGATGAAAATATGAAACAAATCTAAGTTTAAAACTTGTAAAAGTTTTTCATAATTTAAAAGGAAACTTTTTATTTTGTCCAACCTGAGACTAAACAAATAATCAACATAATTTCATATGTTTTTTGCTGTTATCTCGTCAACGTTACAGAGACTTATGCTCAGTTCACACCAACAGCGATTTGATGGCGCTTTAAAGCGGTACCAAAGCGTAACAAAGACCTACGAAAGCGCCAGGGTCGTAATAGATCGTTGGAAAGCTTTGAGCAAAGCTGGATATTTAGCAAGAGCGCCAAAAAAATTTTAAACTGTTTAAAAATTTTGGGCGCTCTGTCACGAATTGATTAAAGCGCCGAGAACGTATCAAAGCTTAACAAAGCATAACAAAGTTCAGAAAAGCTTGACTCAAAGCGTAGGAAAGCTTAACAGATCTTTATTCAAAGCGGGGACCCCAGTCTTCACGGTCTGTCACCACTTGATCAAAAGCGGCATGAAATCGGTGATCTCGAAAATTTTCCAATGCGTAACAGAGCTTAACAATGCACAACAGAGCTTGATAATCGTATCAGAGTGTGATTTAAAGCATCATAACCGCATCAAAGCGTGATTTAAAGCGTAACAAGGCCTGATCAAATAGGGAAATAATTCGTCCCCAAAGCCTAACCAATTTGCATCATAGCTTATCAGAGCATAACATTACTTAGGAGATCGTGATATTTTTGGAAAAGTAAACAAAAAATGATGGCCGATTTAATGCGCGGAATTCGCCGTTGGTGTGAACTAGGCATTACAAAATACAACAGATGGACAAAACAGTAGCTAAAATATGACTAAATTTATGAAACCTTTGTTTGTGAAGATATGAATCTATAGCAATTAAGCCAAATTTGTTCTGATCCAGTTTTTGTTGGCGTGGGCCTAAAAGTTTGATCAACTGGCTTTTAAACAAAACATTTGCGTCATTTGATTATACAGTTGTTGAAAAAAGCAAATTTTTAGAATAAGATCAATGGAAATACAGGTGAGAACAGATTTTGTTCATTTTGTTTGTCAATTATTTACATTGAAATTTGATGATTACAATTTGGATCAATAAATTCAATATATATATTCAAAAAGTCATTATCTAGAAATAATTAGTTTTATTGTTTAAATATTGTAGCTATTGATTTAGATATAAAAATAACCTTTCGCTGTATATTTTACCAGTCAAAATGACTTAACGTGCCATCTACTAAGTTTAATTTGTTGATATTGATATCTTATTTATCTTAAGTCTATAATCATTTATTGATAAAAAAAATCTTCAAGCAAATATTATGCTTCACACAAAGGTAAATAGGAATAATTGAATTTGTATTATTTATCACCAATTGAAAAGCAAGAAATCTTATCAGTGAAGCTGCTTTTTCTATTTATTTAAGACAATGACCTTTCCTTAAGAGTTTTAATATACTGCTTTTGACTGTCTTTGATGCAAACTATAAAGGTTAAACACATCAATAAATATTCATTACTTCAATGTCATTTGCGAAACAGGACTAAATTGAATTTTGAACTCAACTTAACCTCCATAACCATAAAATCAGGGCTTAATGGTTGGTCCAATTGTAACCTAAAATTCTAATGCTTTTTTAAAAATTCACCCTCTTATAAGAGTTGTTGTGATCTAAATCCTTCCTTAACCAGTGAATAAGATTTCCATATCACATTTCAGAATTAAGTCTGACTTCTGTTCACCTACAATACTGTACATAACTTCTAGGTTTTAAAGCTGTGATATCGATGGATTTCGTTGGATGAAAATAATCGTGATGTATCGGTGCAATTAATTCTTAGCCCCCTTTAATAGCAAATGACAGAATCCTTGTGTGTATAATAAATTGTGTCAAGTTTTCTTTTTCCAGATAAAAATTTGCAAAAGTTCATTCTAATTTGAGAAAAATTTCTGAAAAATTGATATTTTTTATCACAATTCCTTACTTCTAAATGTTCAGAAGTGCTTAATAATGACAAATTTGTTACTTGTTTTAAAAATTTCTACTTTTCTCTTTCCTTCTCTAATAAATGAATCGTGATAATTATAGCAATAAATCGTATCATTGGATGAGTATCTTATAGTGTATCGAATTGCAACTTCAAGAATCGTTCAAACTATATCCCATTTAAAATATATACTAAGTTTAAAAAATATACATTAATATAACAATTCAATCATGGATTCAACAACAGTTATAAATACATTCATCTAAAATATTTTCTTTACCAGGTAAACAGAGCCAGCTATCTACAACATCTTTTCAGAACTCAAATCCAATAGTACATCTGTCCATTTCAGATCTTTATCGACCTTTTTGCTTGGTATTATTACTGATTATAATAGCACTACTACTTCACTCAAGAAATGCCTCGATGTGAAGACAGTCTCAAATGTCAAAAAATAAAATATGCTTTATTTTAAAACCTAATTAGTCAAGATGCATCATGCATCATGCATCAAAAGACGACACAAAAAGTCTAAATATGAAGCTCTTCTGTTGAATTCTAATGAAACATCAGATTTTCATATGAAATGTGATAGCTGAAATTGAGCTCTATAAGATAGTATTATAGCAAATATTTAAATGACTTAATAACAAGCAACAAAATTTTCCAATATCTCGAATTTACATTTAAGCTTACATCACAAAATAGTACAGTACAAAATAAAAATATGAATAGAAAACTTGACTGAGATATAATCCAATTTTGTACACCACACCCTAGTAAATCTACAGATTAAACCCTCAATGATATACATGTAGGTGACGTAATATCTGCTCAGTTATAATGTATTTATACCAGCCATATCACCTTTCAATTTATCCACTGTTAAAATTGTATTGATTCAAAGAGTTCACATAGCTCATAAATGTTAATTTGATATTAAATCTGTTCAATATACAATATTATTAAAAACATTGTAAATTATGCATGACCATATTGCCATTTTTTTTAATGTATAGAGACAAGAGAATTCAAGGTAAAAAAAAGTAACATAAGAGAAACTTTTCTCCAGATTTTGGTGTATAAGCTTAAGCTTAGTTTTTCATAAATTTGATAAAAAAAAAATTTTGACCTACAAAAAGATCAGATTGCCCCTTAAAATAACTTATATTTAGATTGTCTAATATTCAAACTGATCTCGCAATTCAAAAAAAAAAATTTGCTGTGGGTCAGTAAATTCAGTGTACATTGAACCTAGTTATCAATCATTAATAATAGGAGATAGGCAATACTTTCACAATCGGTAGATCAACAAAATTGAGAATTTAAATTGTTGATAGTTTATATAACCAGATTTGATTTATGTTCTGCAGTAGAGAATAGATATTTTTAAATTTTAACATTTTTGGTTCATATGAGACAAGCAGTCGATAACAAAACAGATTGAGATGTCAAAAATAAAACAATATATTTGATTTGATACAGTCACTTTTGTTAAAGGGGCAGGTGTGCCATTTTGGGGGTTGATTTTAGTCTTAAATATATGTATATAGTATTCAGAAGTACTAGAAATGTACCAAAATCACACAATTCCTTTAAAAATACTTTACATTAGGAATTTTACTCACTTTTCCTATATGTCTTTTTTATATAATATCGCAAAGTATGACGAGTCATCATTTTAACATTCAAACACAGATAATTTTGGACACACATAGAATTGAAGGCTCAAATTTCAAGGGTGAACTGTGAACACTATTACTGATAAGCTCAGCTAAAAAATTCCAGCTTCTGAGACTAATGTATGACTGGTCAAAACTATGGCCCACCTGTCCCTTTAAAGCTGAAAACAAGCTTTTTTCCACTATTAAAGACTGGGGATAGTATTAGCTTGAAGTCCAGTCCAAGAGCGCTCACATAAACAAACACACAACATACAGGTAATATAAAATAATATCTAAATAATACCCTCAACTTTTCTTTCATTGCACAATATGATTAAATCTTGTTTGGAGATAATAATTCTGTTAATAAATACAATAGAGAATACACCCATAAATCCGGCAGTTATCATATATGCTGTAATAGTTCCAGTAATACGCACAATATATCCTGCACACATAGTTAGCAAGACTTGAGATAAAAAATAAGCACTATCTAATGTTGCAATGTAAGTACCAATACCATTATTACTCAAGGACGTTGTAGTTATAACATCAAAAAAATATAGCTGAAATGAAATAATACACATTATATTCATTCTTTTTGAAAGGAAGCATGTTCAGGTCCTAAGGGCCTTATGTGATATAGCATATATTGCAATTAGTGACGTCATCAAACACTTATTTTTAGTGGAATTGCAGGAACCACAGATATCTGATTGAATTTTGGTATGGTGAAAATTGATAAAAAATTGTGAAAACCTCTTTACAATCCCTATAAATCAAAGCCTGTTACCTTCCAAAATAGAAAAGAAGTCATCTAAAAATGTTGCTGCTGATTGCTACTTAGAAATAATACATACATTGCCTTAAGAAATATCCCATTGATATTCTCGAATAGTGAAGAAAAAAGAGAGAAAAAACCTGTTAAATTTTTTACCAATTTTACCAATCAATTTTGAGTTTTTTTCCAGCACCTAAACAACCCTAACTAAATAATTTAGATTGTGCAAGGGGGAATTAGACAACAAAAAAAGGCACATTGAATTTTGTTAACCATTATAAGATGTTATAATCATAACATGCAGTTGTATCTGTGCTTTTGATTATTTCAAAATATACCATCAAAATAGTATAAACTCTCCATTTTAATAGAAAGTTTAATTTATTTAACATCAAAACGTTTTTATGTTACATTGCTCTATCTCAATGAAGAAAACCAACTTACTTCTTTGTCTTCGTGATATTTTGAGACCAAGATGAAAGGTATAGTTGTTAATGTAGCAAATGCAAATCCTGTCATAGCTGCCATTAAAATAACAACAAATACATTAGGTACCAACACCATTCCGGTCATTGCAAAAGAAAATGAGGTCATCCCCATCATGTAAGTCATTTTACTTCCATATTTTTCCACCAATTTTTCCACAAAGAATGAATAAATAGCAGAAGTGATACAATGTAATAATAATCCCCAACTGCCCATGCGCACACCGTCATCGTATAAATTACCAGATTCCGAATCCACTGGAGCATTAGGATTGCCATGATACACAACCTGTCCTACAAAGTCTGTAAAATATAAATTAAAACCCATCACCGCAGTCCAGCTGCAGAAATTAGCATAGGCTAACTGTCTGAGAACAAAAGGCACATTAAAAAATTGTTGTACACAGCTTGGTAAATGAGTAAAAATAAAAAGTCCACAATTTTGTTTTATAGTACAAAGTGTTGTTGAAAAACTGTTCTTGCTTGTAAAATAAGATATACAAGGTCGACATCTGTATTGTAAAATAGGTTTTGTAGAGTTGAAATAAGGCACTGAAAAGTTAGTATCTTTATCAGTCAGTACACGCTGCAAATTTTCTTCAGAAGCAGATCTTGAGCTATTGCTCGATTCATAGCCAGATTCTAATGTTGGCATGATAGGAATTTTCATATTAGAGTTATGAATAGAATCAAATCTTCTTCCAATCTCATCATAGGAATCAGTATATTTGGGTAGAGGATTTTCTACTGCTACTGTCAGTGTCGCTGTCAACATTATTGTAAAGATAAAAATCAAAATAGAAAATACTGAAGCCTCTTCTCCACCAAAAAACTGACCCACACTATTTGATTTCCAATTAATAGCTGATATTAAATAACCAATTATACCACCAAGACTAACCATTAATGAATAAATAGAAAATATCCGTTCTTGTTGTCCTGTTTTTTTACTGGCATCATTTAACAAAGCTTCACAAGGTGTTAAACATGTCTGACTAGTAAAATCCAACAAAACCGAGCCAACAGTTAATAATAAAACACCTAACATTTTACTTAAATCTCCCTTTCCTATGAAAAATGTGATAATACTTTCTCCAAAAGGAATCAGATATAAGGAAATGATTAAGAAAGACGATAACACTAAAATAAATGGTCGTCTTCTGCCAAATGAACTGTGGCATCTGTCACTGGCTCTACCAACCACTGGTGCAATGAAAAGTGCCAAAAATGGTCCCATTCCTAGCACTAAACTCATATTCTCCTCAGAAAACCCACTTTTTAATAATAATGGTGGAATGTAGGTAAATCCAGAACAGGCACAAATTTCAATCCCACAAACAACACTATTCAACAAGAGCATCTGACATATTGTTAATCTACCTTGACTTTTTTCTTTATCAATACTTCCAACATGAGACGAAAATTTATTTACCACCTCCATTTTTATATACACATCAAATTCTCCTTCAGATGGAAATTTTCATAAAGTATAAATCAAGTTCTATAGATTATCACCTGTCATTCTATTATGGTGAAGTTTATATTCATCCTAGAGTATAAACTATTATGTTTGTTCAATCAATGATTTAATCTTATATTCAGTCATCATTAAAATCAATGATATTTCGGTATTCACTCCTACTTGTTGAATAGCTCCAACTTCCATCATGTAATACTTTAATCAATTCTTAACTCTATCTCCTGAAATGATAAAATTAAATGATATAAATATTATATTCTCTGTGACAATTATAACTTAAACACCTTGTACACCGGACCTCTATAAAGCGCTGCGTTCTCGGTCCAGACCAGGTCGCAAAAAAATGTGCCCATTTACATTACAGTTTACTCAAGTGGTCTGAGAACGGTTCTTCAGTAAATGAAAAACATTCTCGGCACGGTTATCTGTGGAACTCTTCTTGAAGAAGTTAAAATTGACCCTTATAGTCACTGTGATGTAAATAAAGACATCTGGATGTAATCTACAATTTCACTGAATAATGTCCCAATTCCACGGGAAAAGATGAAGGTCGCTTGTGAAGCATACACAGTAAAGCATCCTCGCTCGAAACAGTTACAATTTACATTATATCAATTTATCGAGCCTGTTCTAAGAACCCTCAACTGTTTACATTACACAAAATTTGTCCATACCATTCTGAGAACCGATTCGAAAATTGATCAATTTTGTAATGTAAAAGGGGTTCTAGTCACAGATCCAACATGTTAAAAAAGAAACAAAATTTGTTTTACCAAAGTCAATTTTATGAGATGAGACACCAATAAAGTTCTATTCAAGGATATTTATTAACTAACCACTTATAAGCATAATTTTTGAATGTCATGATTCAAGGCAACAATAGCAGATCATTTTGCACACAACTTTTTTTTCTAAAACATTTGACAATATTTCTCTCTGTGATTTGTTTGAGGTTTATAAATATAGGGTCTATCCATCACAAGCTGTTGGTAGTTAAGTCTGGTTTTTACAGATTTTAGAAACAAAAAGTTGTTTTTTTCATAATTAAAATTCAAATTTAACAAAAATACAATAAATATCCCTTAAAAAAACACTGAGTCTTTAATATCATAATAAAACATCTATTTCAAAAGTTTAGTTACTAGTTAAAATTGTCTAGATGATCTTATCTGGACAAAAAATTTGAGGATATATCATGATAATATGGCAATATTTTAGTTTGTTTTCAAATAGACAATATTACTAATGATATAATTTCCTATACTGGTAGACATTGTGATACCGGTATGAGCCCAGTACTCACCTAAAGAATTGTAAAAGACACTCAGAATACCTCTTTGTTTGAAAGTTTATTTGTATACATTCCATGTATGATAATATTTAGGTTCTAAACTTAAGTCACCATTGGGCCATAACCATGGACAGCAAACGAGAACTTAATGAAACATACTTTCAATATCCGACATATACCTGTACATCCTAAACGGAAATTCATCAAGACTGTTAGTGAGATCGCGTCCAGATAAAAGAATATCATTTAAGGCCACACCTTGAAACTTTGAATTGTTAATTTTTGTTCACGTTTTCGGTACACGCCATGTACAATCCAATCTAAGCAGATAAAATATAAACAATGACGTCATGTTTAGGTCCTTTTTAAAGCACTGACGTCATCCTTTTTTAACGTCAAATTTGGACCCATTCTGGTGAAGGGATTTTGCTAAACTTTTAATGTGTTGTTCTACACACCTTGTAGTACAAAATAACACCATAAAATAATTTCTTGCAATTTATTGGGGTAGGAGGTATTTGTATCATATTTTGACTTTACTTACAATAAAATTTTCAATTGTAGGCCTATACCATTTTTCTAACAATGCCTACAGGTCCATAGAAATATGAGGTCCAGTGGTTTTACATTTAAAATAGATTCACTTCCCTCCCAGAAAATTCATGTGAAAAAGACCCACTTTTTAGACTGTAAAATTATTTTTACAATTAGTCAAGTAACCCAATTTCGTGCTAACCTATTTTTCGTGCATTTCCGGGGAAATGATTAATAATTTACATGTGCGACCTCGCGTGACCCCCACATTGGCTGGTTTTGATAAACATGGGTCATTTGTACAATGTCAGCAAGTAGAATGAATCCATTAGTTTCAAGCAAGGTAAAATGTATTAATGTATACTTTGACAAATACAAGATAGCTTTCCAGGCAAGGTAATATACGCCCACTGGCAGTTTTGATTTTGAATAAAAATATTTAGCAGTATAGTAACAATCACCAGTATGAAATATTCAACCTTCAGACATACACTTCTTTTGAACTCTTTAGGGCGATACTGAATAATATTGAGTATGAGTTATTGCCCTTGTTCTTGAAAACGTATTCAATTTATAGCTCGGCAAAACCCTAGAAGGAAAATCTTCAGCGCAGGACTGAATAATAAAACCAATTTTCGTCAAAATCCATCAAGAATTGTCCCTTCTATAGTATTTACAAGCTAAAAATTGAACGCGTTTTCAAGAACAAGGGCAACAACTCATACTAAATATTTTTCGATTCTTCTGATTTTCAATAGGGTTCATCCTTTCTTGATTAAAAAAATGGCAGATTTCAGATATTACCAAACGTCACAATTTTTTTTCCGCCGAATTTCCTTATAATCCCAAGCTGTAATCGGAATTCCAAGTGTCGTCTGCTTGAATGTAGTCCAACGAAAGAAGTCATGTGATAAACTAGCTTATTCCATGTCGGCAGAAAAATTCTAGGGAAAACAATGTTGGCCATATTCTTATGTTGTTTCAATGACTCATGAATGATGTATTTGAGTATGACTTGTCAATAAGTGACAATATAGTCAATGTGATGACTGATAAAATTTCAATTAAATTTAGAGTACCTGCTGAAGCTTAGAAGTGATTGATAAGATAAATGCTGTCTGCCTTAAAAGTAAGTCCAAATCTTCGATGTAGTTAGCAAAAAGGGCTGATACAGGGGCCAGTTTTCTTTTCACGTCACATTTCATTACATACATATTTACTAGCTCTATAGTTTCGTATTTACATTCTCGATCGTCAAGACTTTATCATTTACATTTTAACGTTAATCCGAATATTCTTCATAATTTTAACAATATTTTATTTCTAGTAAAATAAAACTTTAAAGAGTATAAATAAAGTTTCGGAAAAAAGGCGAAACTTCTGCTAATCCGTCACAAAACACAGAAAATATAAATGAATAGATGAACGAATAAAATAAATTTGCATATTAATATAATTTAATAATAAAATAGTTTAATAAATAGCACAATTAATTATGTATATTAATATATGAAAGATGTCTGTCATCACCAAGAATTACGTCTGGCCCCAAGCACAAACGAAGCAATTATGGCAGCTGGGCTGATCAATTTGAGACTTGGAGAAAGTAAGTTAATGGGCGTATGTATCTTATTTTGTCAGTCACTATTTTTTTTTCTAATTCATTGTTTTGTGAAGGAATTGTCACTAGTTATAATGAATTGGTAATAGAGATAAATACTAAGAGAAGTTTATTATACCACTGGGTATACAACGTATTTTTCTAGACTTATTTATAAAACAAACATTGTACACGAAAATAGGTTACGCATTTTGCTGCCGTTGTCGAATTGGTTACTCATGAAATATGGATCAAAGTGAGGGATTCATAAAGAAAATCGAAATAAACCAATTCTAATTTTTTTGTAGAATATCTGAGTAAACATCTAAGACCTAAAAAAAAAAATTCGTTTTTTTAACTTTGACGAAATTCGGTGTTGAATCCTTCTATGCACGAAAATAGGTTACACCACTGTAATATTTTAGTGGTCAACATTTTCATCAACCCAAAGGCAATCTAACAATTTCACTAGAATACATACACGTTTCTCATTATTTCGAAAACAAGAAAAACGGTAAAATATTAAAACTTACGGACGTTCTGTCGTATATCGTTAAAAACATCATATACCTAATTTCCTGTAAAAAATGCTTTGTACAATATGTTGGTGAAACCCAAAACGCATTGCGTACTCATCTAAGCGGTCATTGGTTTGACATTCTTTATAATATAGACAGACCAATCGCGAATCATTTCAATTTAACCAATCATTCCATTGAAGATCTTCTTGTATGCCAATAGAAAAGGTTTCTGTATCTACATCAATCAAACTAAAAACCAAGGGATTGCAAAGGGAGAGTTTCTGGATAAACCAATTACAAACAGTTGTACCTAACGGCCTAAATATACAGCATGACAATCAAATTACACCTTTCGTTGTCACCTACAATTCTTCAGCTAAAAATGCCTCTGTGATTGTCAAACTCTTATAAAGAACTTCAGGACGAATTCTCTAACATCTATACTAAACATTTGGTGACTGCTTACAAAAAGAATAAAAATCTGAGCAATGTTCTTGCCCATGGTAGATTAAAATTAGTTCCCCCTTCATTAAGTCTCTAAAACAATCGCTTTGCATTTCTGAATTACTTGTTTATCTTGTAAATCTCTCCAAAAGTAGGTAATTTTCTATCAAATAGATGTATTCCAATGATGTAATTCACAGTCCCTACTTGTGACCTAGGCCAGTGCTTCTTTAAGAGAGTTTCTCTTATAAAACCTTATACAGTCAAGTAACCTAATTTCGTGGAAACCTATTATTCGTGGATTTCCGGAAAGGATTAATAATTTACATGAGCGACCTTGCTTGACCTCCGCATTAGTTTGTTTTAATAAACATGGGTTTTCTCTACAATATCAGCGAGTAGAATGAATCCAGTAGTTTCAAGCAAGGTAAAATGTATTAATCTATACTTTGACAAATACAAAATGGCGGATTTCAGTTATTACCAAACGTCACCATTTTTTATCAACCGAATTTCCTTATAATCCCAAGCGGTAACCGGAATTCCAAGTGTCGTCTGCTAGAATGTAGTCCAACGAATAAATCACGCTATGTATCTTATTTTGTCAGTCACTATTTTTTTTGACACATTCTGCCGCCGTTGCTGAGTTGGTTGCTCATGAAATATGGGTCAAAGTGAAGGATTCATAAAGAAAATCGAATTAAACCAATTTTAATTATTTTGTAGAATATTTGAATTGAGGAAACATCTATGACATAAAATTTTTTTTTTTTTTTTAACTTTGACGAAATTCAGTGTATTGAGTCTATGTGGTAAGAAAAGGTTTGTAAGCTTTAGCCAAATCCGATTTTAGCCTTGTGATATCGCCCTATGTTTAGGCCTATTTATGGATGACAGTGAGTGTGACTTGTCAATAGTGACAATATAGTCAATGTGATGACTGATGGATTCAAGCTCAATAGGCCCAGTCCTAGTCAAGTAACGTCCATTTCAATTAAATTTAGATTACCTGCTGAAGCTTAGAAGTGATTGATTAGATAAATGCTGTCTGCCTTAAAAGTAAGTCCAAATCTTCGATGTAGTTAGCAAAAAGGGCTGATACAGGGGCCAGTTTTCTTTTCACGTCACGTTTCATTACATACATATTTACTAGCTCTATAGTTTCGTATTTACATTCTCGATCGTCAAGACTTTATCATTTACATTTTAACGTTAATCCGAATATTCTTCATAATTTTAACAATATTTTATTTCTAGTAAAATAAAACTTTAAAGAGTATAAATAAAGTTTCGGAAAAAAGGCGAAACTTCTGCTAATCCGTCACAAAACACAGAAAATATAAATGAATAGATGAACGAATAAAATAAATTTGCATATTAATATAATTTAATAATAAAATAGTTTAATAAATAGCACAATTAATTATGTATATTAATATATGAAAGATGTCTGTCATCAAACGAAGCAATTGATGACAGAAATTAAAGAAAGAAAGTTCATGGGCGTAATAGAAATCGTGTTCAAAAACTAACTTGCGGATCAGACAGTGACTTGAATTTGATTTAGGATCAAATATACAAGATGTTCTACTGAGGCAAATATACAAGTTACACTAGAACAGCATACGAGGGCCACGAGTAAGTAATATACAGGATTCACCGATTTTTATACGCCCACATGAAATGTCCGTCGGTCCGTCCACAATTGCTCGTAAAAACTCTACAAGACACAATTCTTGACGGATTTTGACAAAACTTGGTATGAGTGTTCGTTATCACCCAAGGATGAACCCTATTGAAAATCAGAAGAATCGAAAAATATTAAGTATGAGTTATTGCCCTTGTTCTTGAAAACGCGTTCAATTTTTAGCTTGTAAACACTCTAGAGGGCATAATTCTTGACGGATTTTGATGAAACTTGGTGTGAATGTTCGTAATCGCCCAAGGATGAACCCTATTGAAAATCAGAAGAATCGAAAAATATTAAGTATGAGTTATTGCCCCTGTTCTTGAAAACGCTTTCAAATTTAGTTCTTAAACACGAAAAGGCATGATTCTTGCTGGATTTTTGACAAAACTTTCTTGTATTATTCAGTCCCGCACTGAAGATTGAATATTTGCCTTCTAGAGTTTTCACGAGCTAAAAATTGAACACGTTTTAAAGAAGAAGGGCAATAACTCATACTCAATACTATTCAGTATTGCGCTAAAAAGTTCAAAGGAAGTGTATGACTGAAGGTTAAATATTTCATACTGGTGATTGTTACTGTACTGCTAAATATTTTTATTAAAAATCAAAGCTGCCAGTGGGCTTATATTACCTTGCCTGGCAAGCTATCTTATATATTGTTTGTAGTTGTGGATCCTGTATACTTACCCTGTTTGTTGATCTTGCCTTAGTAGTCTTGGTCTTATTCACTTACCTTAATTGTTACACTTGACACCGTCAAAGATTCCAATATAATGGCATTGGCATGCCTAATCGTGTTACTGGCAAGTTACGAAGCTCCTATATGACAAATTTTTTTAATCCATAGTAATGGTGGTGGGACAGATTAAGACCTGTGAATATACCAAAAATTCCAATAAAATGGTATTTTCAAACCTCTCAAAGGTAAAAAGTATTCACTTTTAAAAATGAACATGTGGAGGCTTCGTCTCTAACTGGCCAGTTACACAGTTAACTTATTATGCATTGATTTGTTTTATTTGCACCATGCACCATTTTTTTTTATCTCAAAATATGAAACAATGTACTAGGACTGATTCTATCAAATAGAAAATTTGTAATTATATTTTAATTCATAATTCAATTCTCTTTACTTTGTACGCAGCCATTGACCGGCCAAGAAATTCGGGACGAAGTTCTAACTCCGGGAATTTATGCCAATCTTCATAGTCAGTTCCGCCTACTAGTTTGCATAACTGCAAATCTAAATATGCATTTTGTAATTTTTGCAATGAAATTATCATTGTAATCGAAACAACTCAATCGCTGTGTACATACTAAAATATGAACCGACAAGAAACGGTTCGGTTTCTGACATGGAAGCCATTTGCAAAGAAAGTGTTGAAACAAAAGAAACTTCAATAAGATATATTCATAGTACAGAGAAGCCTATGGAGGGGGATCGTTGCTAATTCTATTCATAATGTAAAAGTTGAAAACTTTACAAAATCATATTTCCACATTACACAATGACAAAATACACCTTTCTAAAATCAACAAGTCAATCTACTAATTACAAAGTAGAGATATTACCAGTTTACTTTTCAAACTTTATTTCAAATTATAAATACATATACCATGTACCAACGATCTAGAAAAGTCAACATTCAAACTTCCTTTTTTGAAAATGAATTCTTAACTTTGCATTATTGACATAATCAACAATGTCTTTTTGACTTTGCATTCTCGAAAGGTAAGTTCGACCACTGTACTCTTGAGTAAGGTCAACTTTTGTATTCTTGAACGTTAACCATATAAGGTATTGTGACCTACCTCATTTACATAATCCGGAAATTCACGGAAACAGAAATGTATAACACCTGGTGTTTTCTTCACTGTCAGACAAATTTTAATGGCAGAAGGATGCAATTTTTGGAATGATTATAATTGTTTGTAAAATCAAAACCACCGATGAAAGTCTGAACTGGACTGAACCAGAGAGTGGGGCCTGTGGTGTTTCAGAATATTGGTCCAGACAGGGATAATGGAATCACAGCTCTCCGATACATTGACCAAGTACTCTGACCCCACATCTTACAACGCCCGACCCAACACTGCCAGAGTCACCAGGGACTTCCTCCAGCAGCATATTCAAGTCATACCAGTCCGGATTTGAACACTTGTGGGATGAGTTCCAACGCCGAATCATTGAAGTGTGTCCAATGCCGACAACTGCAGAAGAACTGCGTGTAACGTTCCTGAGGATATGGGCCCAAATGCCAATGGCCTCCATCATCCGGCTAGTCAACTCCATGTACAGAAGATGTGTTGCTGTAGTCGCCGCCCATGGCGGCCACACCAGGTACTGATTTTGGACCCCCAGCAGTGATGTCTTCTGGTGCCTCTCCAAGTTCACAATTTGAAAAAACATTGTTTATATTGTTAATTTTGATGAGTGTCAAACACCGACTTTCTCCAATGTCTTTACTTGCATATATAAATATTCGAAAATAAAAAAATATATTATTATACATCCCAGTGAAGTTTCTTTTGTCTTAAACAAATCTCTCGTCCATAGCGTTGGGATATGAAAATTTCGGACAATCAAATAGTCAGTTGTTAGTTATAAGGTAAATCGAATAATGTCTGTCTCTATTCCAGCTTCTGATAGCTATAAGGACAGATGTCAGCTGGTGTAGAGACAGAAATAAAAAGCCCTGTTAAATGGGGACATTCTGCATCTCCGCAGGTGCCGTGGACCTATATAGATACCTCGGATCTGCCAAACCCATATGTATTTGGAAAGATGAGTATTTTATAGTTCAGTCATACCATCATGTTCTCCCTATTTATGCCATGTCTCTGGTTCCATTCCTTTTTGGCAAAACTGATCTAGCATCTAGAATGTCAAAAACGAAAGTTTCGGTTTTGCCCAACACTAATTTACAATCATCTTAAAGGTAATTCAACACTATGTTAGACAAAACGCATCTTTGGAGGCGTGGACAATATTTTTCCTCTGACACTACTCCAGCTAACTACTGTTACTGTCAAAATATCCATCAGAGACTGGAATAGGGTAGATGTTTCGGACTATACTGGATAAGGATGTCTACTGAGTTTGTCGTCAAAGCTCGAAGTTCTCTTTGGGCGGAGAGTGAAAGGAGTAGGGGTGGGTTGTATATTATTCACTAAATTTAGATTTTAATCATTGAAAATTGTATTATATAAATTTGAATTAAATTGTGAAAATGTTTATATATAGTTTCGTACTAAGGCCTAGCTCTACTTAAAATGTCAAAATGGAGGGAAAAATAAAGTAAAAGTAGATATTCAACTCGTAAATAAACAATAAGAAGTCATAAACAAGGTGTGGACTCTCTTTACTTCGAAAAAAAAAGAAATCGGGATAAAAAAAGCTTACGCACACAAAATCGTTGGAAATGACAGAGCGGAGGTCCAATAGGTAAGAGAAAAATTATTTACATTAAATATAGAAATTTTATAGGCAATATAGTGGTGTAACCTATTTTCGTGCATATAAGGATTCAACACCAAATTTCGTCAAAGTTAAAATAACGGAAATATTTTTTTATGTCTTAGATATTCTACAAAATAATTAAAATTGGTTTGTTTCGAATTTCTTTATGAACCCTCACTTTGATCAATATTTCATGAGTAACCAATTCGACAGTGGTACAGTGGTGTAACCTATTTTCGTGGATATAAGGATTCAACACCGAATTTCGTCAAAGTTAAAAAAAAGGAATAAAAAATTTATGTCTTAGAGGTTTCCTCAGATATTCTACCAAATAATTAAAATTGGTTTATTTCACTTTGACCCATATTTCATGAACAACCAACTCGGCAACGGTGGCAGAATTCCTCACCTATTTTCGTGTATAATGTTTGATCTATAAATAATTCTAGAAAAACATGTTGTATGGATACCGGGTGGTATAATTAACTTCTCTTAGTATTTATCTTTAATATCAATTCATTATAACTAGTGACAATTCCTTCAAAGAACCACGATTTAAAAAAAGAAATAGTGACTGACAAAATAAGATACGTAGCGTGATTTATTGCCAAAAGTCACTGAAACAACATAAGAATATGGTCCACTTTGTGTTCCATAGAAATTTTCTGCTGACACGGAATCCGATAGTTGATCACGTGACTTCATTCGTTGGACTACATTCTAGCAAACCACACTTTAATTCATTTTACCTTGCTTGAAACTACTGAATTCATTCTACTAGCTGATATTGTACAGAAAACCCATGCTTATCAAAACAAACTAATGCAGAGGTTGCGCAAGGTCATTCATGTAAATTATTAATCCTTTTCGAAAATCCACGAATAATAGGTTTCCATTATGTGATTTTTAGTGATTCACTAAAACTAATGATGGAGTCACTAATCGCAAAATATACGAAATGTCCACATTTCTTAAAGACACAATAGGCGCTGTAATTTTTATACGCCCTCATAAAATGGTCACCCTGTCCGTCCGTCGGTCCACAATTGCTTGTGAACACTCTACAAGGCACAATTCTTGATTGATTTCAACGAAACTTGGTATGGTTGTTTGTAATCACCCAAGGATGAACCCTATTGAAAATCAGAAAAATCGAAAAATATTTAGTATGAGTTATTGCCCTTGTTCTTAAAACACTCGTAAACACTCTAGAAAGCACAATTCTTGACGGATTTTGATGAAACTTGTTGTGAATGTTTGTTATCATGCAAGGATGAACCCTATCTAAAATCAAAAAGATCCAAAAATAATTAGTATGAGTTATTGCCCTTTTTCTTGAAAATGCGTTCAATTTTAGCTTGTAAACTCTCTAAAAGGCACAATTCTTGATGGATTTTGATGAAACTTGGTAATATATTGCCTCAATAAGGTCAAAAGAAGTGTATGACTGAAGGTTGAATATTTCATACTGGTAATTGTTACTCTACTGCCAAATATTTTTATTTAAAATCAAAGCTGCCAGTGGGCGTATATTACATGATTAGATAAGATTTTGTGATAATTGAATGAACAGATTTTGAGTTATTGCCCTTGGCATAGAAAAAAATTGCTATGCATGTTCATATTGATGAGTTCCTTGTCAGGTTCAAATTTGGCAATTATTGTATAAAGGTCAAATTATTGCTCTTGACTTAGACTTGATAGACACGATAAAGACTACAGTTTTTATCTGATTTATTGTTATATTATGCAACATATATATATGCATGTATATATTGATGAGTTCTCAGTCAAGTTCTAAATTGGTAGTAATCTGATGAATGGTTTTAGAGTTATTGCCCTTGACTAAAAACGTGTCAAGTTAGGCTTAAAGGTACAGTGTCTACAGTTTTTGTCTGTTTTTGATGAAACTTGGTATGCATTTATATATGTTGATGAGATCATTCTGAGTCAAGTTCTAAATTGGTAATAATCGGATTAGCAGATTTAGAGTTATTACCTATGTTTGAATTTGATGATAATTTGAGTAACTGTTTTTGAGGGTTTGCCTTGAATTAAAATTGATTTAAGATTATTTGAAAATTGATTATTTAGCCACTTTATAAAGACTTAGTTTTAATTTCTGATAGCCTGGCTAGAGCCTTGATAGTCCGAAACATCTGCCTCTATTCCAGCCTTTGATAGATATTTTGACAGTAACAGTTGTTGCGTGAGTATAGTCAGAAGAAAAAGACCCTGTTAAATGGGGATTTTCCACACCTGCAAAGTTGTGTTTCTCTAACATAATATTGAATTACCTTTACGATGATTGTTTGGGTATCACTGTAACTTTCGTTTTGTTAGTTGTTTGTTTCAATGAATGAAAATTGACCACATTAAAATTCTGCCTAATTTTGAGATTTCAGAGTCGTGGAATTTGAATGATTTGATGTATTTGGATAATTGCTATCAAATTGAGAAAGATTTTGAAGAAAATTCCATATAATCTTATAAATTGATGAGATATTAAAACAATTATTTGAAGTACCGTAATTTAGTTTTGAATAATTTCAATTTAAATATGCTGACAGACAGTAAAAAAAAATCTTCTATATCAATAAGTTGTTTACATTTTTTTCAGGGCCAGATCAAATATAAGTTATTCAAAGTATCATGAAGGTGATGATGATGGTAAGTTTGAATTTTTGTATAGAGATATTCATGTCTTTGATTTCTTTTAATACTCCCACATGAAATGGGGGGCGAATATTGCCGTCACCCATGTCCGTCCGTCAGTCCGTCCGTCCACAATTGCTCGTAAACACTCTACAAGACACAATTCTTGACAAAACTTGGTATGAGTGTTTGTAATCACCCAAGGATGAACCCTATTGAAAATCAGAAGAATCGAAAAATATTTAGTATAAGTTATTTCCCTTGTTCTTAAAAACGCGTTCAATTTTTAGCTCGTAAACACTCTAAAAGGAACAATTCTTGATGGATTTTTGACGAAACTTGGTGTGAGTATTTGTTATCACCCATGGATAAACCCTATTGAAAATCAGAAGAATCAAAAAATACTTATTATGAGTTATTGCCCTTGTTCTTGAAAATGAATTAAATTTGTAGCTCGTATTGAAAATACATTCAAGTTTAAGCTCGTAAACACTAAAAGGCTTGATTCTTGCCGGATTTTTACAAAACTTCATAATATTATTCAGTATCACCCAAAAAAGTTGTGTATGACATAAGGTTGAATATTTCATACTGGTGATTGTTACTGTACTGGTAAAGATTTTTATTCAAAATCAAAGCTGCCAGTTGGCGTATATTACTCTGCCTGGCAAGCTATCTTTTCTTGAGAAATAACCTTATCTGACAAAAAAAATCAATTTATTTATTGAATTTATTTCAATCACATAAATAATGTGTCGAGAAATGGAAATTGAATTATTTGATGAAGGTAAATTAAAATTTCAACATTGAAGCTTCAAGGGTTACAAGTAGCCTAGACAATCAAATAACAATGTGGAAATAACTCTGTTGATCAATCGGAGGTAGAAGATGTTATCATTTGAAACCAAACTTTTTTGAATGAGTTGAATGGGTGATATCTGGGTTATTTAACAATTTCACTAGACAGATGAACTGTAGGTTGTTTCTTTATGTTTTCGAAGATGATTTTGCTGATCCTACACCACCAATGAGAAAGTTAAAGAAAGACAAAGAGAATTGTAATATATCAACAAAACAGAAAGAAAAATTATCAACTACTGATAAAAAGACAAAGAGTCGGTATGTATTTAAATGCGTAAATCAGTGTCGTGTCAGCAGTACATTGATTATTCATGGTATATTTTTAACATTTACAATATTTCAGTTGTTAAACAGGTATACATTGCTACTAATTACTAGTAACAAATTGTGGGATGGCGAAATCTTAAGACAAAGAGGCTGTTATGTTGCTCTACTTTGCTATCCCACAATTTGTTAATATATAGATTGGGTTTTGCATGACACTCTTTCATCATTAGTCGAAAATACCTTGACTAAAATGCAACTGTGGTAGACAACTAGTTAGATTACAATTGAGACGACAAATAACAGAAAACCAAACAGATAGTGGACCACAGCCATATACGTCCTTCACGGCATGCGGATGGTAAAAACGAAACATCCATTTTAAGTTTCATCAAAATCGGTTGAAAACTAAGAGAGTAATAGCATATTCAAGATTTTGGGGCAAGGGCAATAACTCTGCTTCTAACGGTCGAAAATAGCTCAAATTTGAACTTGATCTTCGTTTTATGAATATGTATACACATACCGAATTTCATTTGATTCCATCAAAAAATCTAGTTTTTGAGCGTTTACAAGCAAATGTTGATGGACCGATAGACGGACAGAGTGTTTACGAGCAATTGATGTTGATAGAAGCACTTACTGTATAGAGGTTAAAGGGCGATAGCTCTTCAAAATCTTGGCCTAAATCTTGTAAAAGCCTTAGATTTAATCAGAAGTAAACCAAACTTTCTCAAACCTTTACAATTTAGGTCCAATAACATCAATTTTAAGTTTCATCAAAATCGGTTGAAAACTAAAAGAGTAATAGCATAGATTATGGGGCAAGGGCAATAACTCTGCTTCTAATGGTCGAAAATAGCTCAAATTCGAACTTGATCTTCATTTTATGCATATGTATACACATACCGAATTTCATTTGATTCCATCAAAAAATCTAGTTTTTAGAGCGTTTACAAGCAAATGTTGACGGATGTACGGACCGACGGACGGACAGGGGTGCCAACAATATACGTCCACATAGAGAGATGTGGGCGTATAAAAAGGGGACAAAATTTAATCTTGTAATAAGAGTAGTTAAAGCTACCTTATTGAAAACTTTTCCATTTCAAAATTTGATGTAATATGGTATACCTGGAATAATTTTTATTCAAAAATGTATATTGCTGTATGTGCAGTACGCTACATATCATATGATAAAGTTTTCACCTGATTTAGATGAATTTTTGGATTGACGAGAAAAAAAAGCTTATTAATGACATTTTGATCAATTTTAGCTAATTTTTTTCGCATTATTCTCTAAATTTATTAGAAACTGCATTTACAGTTTTATAGTATTCCTATTTTGTAATTAGATTTAACTTACCCCAGAATTTTTAATAATACTGTACCTTGACATACACAATTGTATTAGGTATCTTAAACATACTCACTCCATTTTCATATGATATAACCTCAGTATTCACACTGAAATAGGTTATATTCCCTACTGAGTTGACTAATTAACAAACACTACACCTATTATTTCTTCTTTTCCTCAACTTTTGTTTCACTGTGGTACACCATAAACAATACATTATTATTCTAGTCAAACTGTTACAGTCATGACTTATGTAATATGCAAATATAATTAATTGTTCTTAGACTATCCTCATAGAGACATATTAGCAGGGTTGGGTACTATTTTAGATCCTTTCCTTTATAAATATTTTTTCTACAGAAGATACCAGCAGTGATTCAGAGCTACTAATTGTTTATGTGGGTTATTAGATGATTCTGGTTGCCTGTTTAATAAACACATCTGGCTCCAGGTTTTGCTTGCCTTGTACATTCAAAGTGTTAAAAAAACTTATTTCCATAATTTGTTGTAATTAGGCATTTAGGAAATTTCATTAGAATATTCAAGTTAAGCATAGCATAGCCTAAAACATGACCCAATAACAAGTCAAGAAATACATCCATAGATTTAAAGCCAAACTGGAGATATCATGTTGATGGTTAAAAACTAAATTTATTTTTTTCTTTCTCAATTTCAAATCCACACCCTTTGTCTGAATGTAAACTGTTTGTTTGTACCTAACTAACAATGTTTTGGAACAGAATGAGAATGTTTTTTACTTTTATTCTGGAAACAAAACCCTGGTTCCACAAGCCTTTTTTCATTCTTAGCTGAGTATTACTCAAATTTGAAGAAAAAAAGATATTCACTAGGGCACAAGATTTCTGGCATTATCACATCAATCTTCAAATTTTACCTTTTCTTGATGATAGGGACATTATGTATTTGAGTCAAAACTAAAATGAGCATTAGAAATGTTTTGTAGCCCTGGGACCTAATATCATTGTTAAATATTTACATTAGGTATTGTTTTGCCCTTTGGACAGATGCAAATTTGTTTATATCAACAAATGCCACAGCCTCATCACCAAAATATTAGGCGTAGTAATTTTAATCAATGACGTTGTTAATATTATTCATTGATGTCATTGTATCAAAAAGACGCTCTCCATTGTCAACAATCATGTTGGTAGTCCCAAACGTTGAAATAGGCCCTACTTATTTTCATAGTAAAGTATTTTTGTATCAAAATTAGAATGTCTTGAAAACTTAAACAAGCAATAAA